AAAATGCTAGTAGTGACCATATGAAATTTTGTTTAACACATTTTATCATCATTTTACTATCCTTACAGGGTGATAGTTGCAAAAAAACATCTCAATCTTCTCTAACTTTAATAAAAATTATAAATACCCACTTTTTGGGTATTTACCCGGGCCTGGGGTAAATTCCCGGGTAAATACCCAATTTATATTTACCTACCCACTGGGTATTTACCCGGCCCACATCACTAGATAAATATGTTGATTTCTGACTGCGCTGCTCAGAGTGGCTTCCTCTGCAAGTTCGTCGGAACTCATGGGCCAATTTACAGAATCTTCCGCGAGCCACGAGGGTCCTGACCACCACAACTTGTGGTCCACGAGAGCTTTAGGAGATAACCCACGTGAAGCGCAATCGGCTGGATTCTCTTTGCCAGGAACATACCTCCAACGAGCTAATGGCTCTGTTTCCTGTATAATGCTAACTCGATTACAAACAAAGTCTTTCCACTTGGATGGGTGGTTCTGAATCCAAGTAAGAGTTACACGAGAATCTGTCCACAACCACAATGGAGCAGATTTGATATCTAGAATTTCTCTAACATATTTTGCAAGACGCACCAACATTAATGCTGCTGTAAGCTCTAGTCTGGGGATACTCATTTTCTTAAGAGATGCAACTCTGGTTTTAGCACAAACAATGTTTACAAAAATACCTGACTCAGACCTTACTTTAATATACACAACAGCAGCCATTGCAGACTGCGATGCATCTGAAAACCCGTGAAGTTCCACACAGCAGGAAGATGATTTGGTGAGACCTAAAAATCTTGGAATTGATATAATAGACAAGTCTTTTAGTTGAGCTTCAAGATTTTGCCAGTGTGCCAACAGGTAGGGAGGAAGAAAATCATCCCAGTTTAACTTAATCAACCATAGTTGCTGCAAAAATATTTTAGCTTGAATTATTACAGGAGCGATAAATCCTAAGGGATCAAATAGTTTTGCAATATGAGATAGAACACTTCGCTTAGTTATCGGAACTGGAGTTTGGAAATCAATCTGGAACTGAAAATCGTCACTTGCTGGTTTCCAAGTTAATCCTAGGGTTCTTACAGCTGTTGATTCTTTGATTGAAATTGAAGCTTCTTTTACATACCGTTCGGGAGATATTGAAGTTAGTGTTGAAAGGTTGTTGCTTATCCACTTTTGTAATGGAAAACATCCTTCCATGCAAAGTTTATCGACTTGTGTTATGACCTCTTGACATTCGTCAATAGTGTCAGCACCCCCAAATATGTCATCAACATATCTTCCTTTTGAAAGAACAGATGCCCCTAAAGGATATTGATTCCCATGGTCGATTACAAGTTGATTCATTGTTCTCAATGCTAGAAAGGGAGCACATGATAAACCATAAGTTACGGTTTTCAACTGATATGTACAAAGTTGTTCATTGTCGTACCATAAGATTCTTTGTAAGTCCCAGTCATCTGGATGAACCATAATCTGCCGATACATTTTTTCAATGTCTCCAGAGAAGACGTACTTGAATTGTCTGAACCAAATTAAGACATCAGATAAATTAGTTTGCAACTTTTCCCCAGTATGAAGGATATCGTTTAGAGATTTACCCGTAGAAGAACGCTGTGATCCATTGAAAACCACCCTTAGTTTTGTGGTTGAACTGGTATCCCGAAGGACGCCATGATGAGGTAAGTAAAATGTTGGAGTATTTACTACAGAATCACTTCCTACTTTTGACATATGATCAAGTGATTCATATTCTGAGATGAAGTTAGAATACAGTTTGTGATAGTTAGGATCAGTAACAAAACGTTTTTTCATTGAGTTCAATACATTGAGAGCAGATGTTCGAGAATTCCCTAGATTTTCAGCAGACTCTTTTAGAGGAAGTTTAACAACATACCTTCCAGTTTCAGTCCTAGAGTGCGTTGATTGAAAGTGTTCTTCACACGTTTGATTTTCAGGAGATAAAACCTGAACTGGATCTTTAGCAAAATCCTCCTGTTCCCAAAACTTCTGAAGTAAATCATCTACTTTGTTCTCCAGTAGGCAATGATACATTGATGATTTATTGTCATTGATGAAAAGTCCACACGGCCCAGATAACACCCAACCAAAGATGGTTGATTGAGCGATAGGAGATAGAGGCGGACCCTTGATAAGTCCAGGAAGAATGATACTTCCATAAACATCAGCTCCAAGTATCAAATCTACAGATCCAGGGGTCATGAAATCTTGATCAGCTAGTTGAAGCTCCTTGATATGATGCCAGTTAGATTTACCTGGTGTCATAGTAGGTAAGTTAGCCGTGAGTTTTGGCAGAATATGTGCTGTTAACGGACAGATGACTTTGTCGTTAGATGTACTCCCAATGTTAATGGACACTAATCCACGAGTAGTTGATGATTGATTTCCTCCGATACCGATAAGAGAGAGTGATGATGAGGAGCGTTCAATATGAAGAGTCTGCACTAGATGCTCGCTGATAAAGGAAATTTCGGAGCCTTGGTCTATTAGAGCTCTACATACAATGTTGTTACCTTTCGGGCTGATTACTCTAACTTGAGCAGTAGCTAAAAGAACTGTGTGTCGATTTACAGTGGGAAGAGAGTGATTTGAGGAAACTTGTGGTGTGTTTGATGATTTTCTTTCCGTATTTAGTGGATTTGGTGTTTGATAAGTGGATTTGATTTGACTAGATGTATCAAAAGGTTTACTGACAGCGTCATGAATCAATGTATGGTGGCGATTACCACATTTCACACATGATTTTTGAGATCGGCATTCTTTGAGCAAGTGAGGACCAAGACAGTTGAAACATAACCTTTTACTTGATAAGAAGTCCTTACGTTGAACAGGTGTTTTAGCGAGAAACTCTTTGCAATATACTATGTAATGAGCATGACTACAAAGTTTACACATACCTTTTTCTTTAGATTCTGCTACCAAAGCTGCATTTATCTTAGGATTGTGCTGAGGTTTACCTTGATGTTTTGATTGATTCACCATTCCATTCGAGTGAGACACTTCCCTGGCTTCGATGTTTTCCAAAGCCCGTACACGTCCCTCGATGAAGGTCTGTAGGTCTTGCAGCGATGATGGTTCTGTCGATACGCCTTGGTGAAGCTCCCATGCCTCGTGTGTATCAGGATCTAGACGATGAACAGTCAGATATACTAAGATGTGATCCCATTGATCGGTCGGCGAGCCAAGAGATTTAAGTGAGCCCAAACTCTCATTTACAGTTGAGATCAGATGATTAAGACCTTTGGCAGATTTTTGTTTTAAAGGTTGGATATTGAAAATGTCATCTAGATGTTTTTTAATCAAGACCCATTTGTTTTCAAATCTAGCTACTAGTTTTTCCCAAGCTGGAATAAAGTTTTCCTCAGTGATTTGAAAACTAGATATCAACTGAGCAGCCTCGCCTACCAAGCTATTTTTGAGGTAATGTAATCTTGTTACATCAGTTAAATCAGGATTAGAAATTACTAAAGAATCGAAAAGATCGCTAAACGGTTTCCAGGATTGATAATCTCCTGCAAACTGTGGCAAAGATATTTGAGGCAATTTTGGTCTGAGAATAGAGTTGGATTTACTACTTTCTGTAATACTTGCATTTTGGAGAGATGACGTTGAGACTAAGTCAAGGAGGTCCAGCATTTCCGATTTGTTGATGACGTAAGCTTCTTTTCCGCGGCTGTAGTGGTCTTCATTTAGATAGTCGAGATTTTCTAGCAATTCGGTCTTTGACTCACAGATCCTTTCGTGATCTTTGTCAAACTTTTTCCAGTCTGCTTCCAAAACTTCAAGTCTTGTTTGTCTTGACCTTGAGCCTTAGTTATAGTAGATGTATCTTTGTTTTTGAAAAAGGCTGAAGCATTTTCCAGGTGTTGTAATCTTGATTTTTGGAGTTTTATTTTTGATTCCAGTGATGCCATAATGATAATGAATTTTCAAATTTTGGTAGACATAAAATAAATTTTGATGAATAAAATTTCAGTGATATAGATACAAGTGTTTTGATATGTTGCTGTTCCGGCTCGATTTAGGACCAATAATGTTAATGATAGATAGTATGAGTGATTAGTTTTTACAAAATAAAAGAGATGAAAAACAATTGATGGTTTATTAACATGGTTGAGAACAAAACTGATAAAAAGTAAACAAAAAAGTAAATAGATCATAACAATTAATAACATATGATTTCATCCTCAAATGGCAGGCAGTTGATAGTATACATAGTACTTCTAACAAGCATCAATGAGAGAATGGAATTATTAGCTGGTGCCGCTGGAGCCCTAGCCACCTAGGATAATTTGCGAATTTGATCGTAAACAAATTTCAAGTTCATTTAGTTGAATCAGCATAGAGGGCCCTCTCTGGTGTGACCCGCCGGGGGCTAGGAGGATTCTAGGCTGGAGGCATATTATAAATACGGCCCTATTATAGCGCCTTCACACAGTCCACGAGGATAGTCGATGCAACGTGCATGGCTGTTGATAATTCTTTTATAGGTTGGTAGAGAATTTATATTGATTGGTCAAGTAATAGTGTCAGTTTAGCTGTTGTAAACTACTTGTCCTAGTGCTCTTGCTGGTTTGAACAAATTTTCGTTATAAAAAATCATATGGTAATTCTCTGATAGTGATAGGGGACCCGTGTGGCTGAGCCTGTCACACAATTGCGGGCCCGTGTCCCGGTAAAATTTACCGAAAATCCCGGTCAAGGCTCACGGGCTCCCCTAGCTCATGGGCCCCCCTGCACCGCGGGCCCTGCGGGCTCGCTATCGCCGCCACTGGTCCCGGGTCTAGGTCTACTCCCTAGGCCTAGGTCCCTATATGGGAAATTCGCTAAAAGTAATTTGGTACGGTAACTTAACGTTGAGTATATATTAGGCCCTACATACTCAGTGTTGTCTTCAGCCATTGACCTTTGTAAACTCAACCTAGTTCAACTTCTAACAGTAAAACTAAGAGTACCGTAGTAGAGAGTACCGTAAGCAGGATGATGTTTGGAGGTTTCATAGGATATTCAGTTGGAAGAAGTATCCTTCCATGATACAAGCCACCTTCAAACTCAGTTCCTGAAGGTCCCTGAACTGTGAAGTGCCACTCAAACAAGTTATCATCTACTGGGTGTGCGCAGTATTCTTCAGTGGGATCCTTCAGTTCAAATGCTTCTCGCATAAGTCTTTTAACAGCTAAAATCACATATTTAGGTATTAGCACGAATTTTTTTAAAGGAATTAAACTCTAATTGTAGGCCTAATGCGTTTGCCAGGATTTAATTACTACAGTATTATCAAAATCAATACATTTACCAGAATATAGTAGGCCTATTAGTATTTAAATCATTTAAGACGACTATTGAAACTTAACACCCTAGTCACAGCAAACTTGCAGACCCATTGTATTCCTACACTAGGTATAGTATCATAATCTACAATATTTACAGTGGTGAGGCACCTGGTCATCAACAAAATTTTCCAATGAACGATTACCGTAAAAAAAATGCAAATGAACAATGAATATTATTTAAAACAAAAACAACATTGGGTGAAAATTAAAAATAACCTGTTTCAAAGCAAGAAATTTAAGCAAAATTCTACAAAAACTAGTCCTAAAAATTGTATGTAGATTTGATGCGTCCAACAAATCGAGTCCATGGGGCTACTAACAAAATCCTACTGTGTTTTAACCCTCCGAGTCGAGTGGCCTCAGGTAGTTACCATAGTGGCCAAGCCAAATTGCCATTTTTGCAGACATTTTCTTTTAGCAAATTTCCCTATAAGGAAGTAGCTATTACTATTACTGTAGCCATAGGTACCGTACCGTAGGTCATGGTAAGACCTAGGCCCAGGACCAATTTACTTTTTTTGATGTCCCCATAAGACCAAAAACACAATTCGTTCAAATTTATATATATCCATGGTGTTTCAGTAAAGCGTAGCGGGCTATGCAGATTCAGATTCTACATGCTAAAGTACCTAAGTCGAAAATGTTGAATAACTTTTTTTCGATTTCGGCTTAGTTTAGCCATAATCCGCCATTTTGTATTTTTTTTATAATTAATAACTCAAAAAAACCCTAGGAGATATTTTTAGCAAAATTCCCATATAGGGAATAAGCTAGTATTACCGTAGGTCTCATGGTAAGACCTGGACCCGGCACCAATTCTCTTTTTTGTTATGAGGTACCCAGAGGCCAAAAACACCATCCCTTGCATGATAGCTCATAAAAAATATTTATTCTTTTATTTCAAAAATTGCGGCCATTTTCCAAAATGGCAGCAAACTTGAAAAGTGGAAAACTGTGTTTTATGGTCTTTTTGGAATTTAGATGCAATTTCAAGACTTATTTAGGCCTACTATTCACATTTTTGCTCTAAACTTACTCCTTTAGATGCCACATGATGTTAAATGTACACCGGAAGTCATTTTTTAATAGGCTGTGTAGGTAACTCCTAAACGAGTGGGTTTAAGGACAAAAAGTCAGGAATAAAAAAGTTTTTAAATTGCATGTTCTCCACAAACATGGTGTGGCCATCAATAAGAGGCTTGTGATTATCGACTATATTCTCATTCTGACAAGAGTATTTTTGTTGTGTTTCTTTATACAAGTGTGTTTTAGGCCTATGTGCTTAAGTTAAGTAGGCTATACTATATTATTAATTTTTTGGCATACCCGTACTTTAATACTTTTCTTTGAAATGGCGACCATACAAAGGTGGTACCGGTAGGTATTTTCAGCCAAGTATGAATGGAGATGAGTGTGGGATGAGTGGCGCGATCTTGTAGTCTTGTTAGTCAGGGCATAAAATAACATGTTAACTGGGCGACACTTGTGCTGACACAGTGCTGAGATTTTGTCGCCCAGTGACTATGGGTGGTGCCGGAATATTTTTTTAGTGATTCACATTTTAGATGTAGCCTATCGGAATTTTAAAAAAAATAGCATTATGTAAATATTCTAGAGTATTGAGCTTTGATTTTGGCCCAAGAGGTTGTGAAGGCAGCCTTGGCCTTATTACAACGTCTAGAACACATATTTAAGTGAGTTTATATGGACCATTTATAAGCAAATATAATTGACCTTCTAAAAAGGTCGCCTCTGACCTCTTGAGACTAGACAGACATAGAATTAAATTAACTGTTGAACTGATAACTGGTCATGGAAGATTCAGGAAACATTTACAACGGATGGGCTAATATGATGGCGAACCGATCTGTAGGTACTGTGATAAGTCAGAAGAGACAGCTGATCACTTACTCTTTGATTGTAACGAGCTCTCTGACGCTAGATTGATAACTCTTGGAAATATGGCTAGAGGTACCTTCCTGAGGATGAACTAATTGGGAAGCTACAGGCATTCATTGGGCGCCTTAACTTGTAGGTCAACAAGAAAGCAATTGTCTGGGGGTGCGCAATAATTCGATTTAGGATGAAGTGGTTTAAGGTCTCGACCTGCCCCTGTTAGATAAGATATAATTGAATAATTCATAAAAGATACATAGAAATGTGTGATTTTCACTTTAATCAATGCAAAAATTTGGGGGGGGGGAAACCCTCAGACCATCCTTTTTTATTTCAGACCCCCCGGTAAGTCCGGCGCCACTTTCACCCAGTGGAAATCATTTAAAATATTCTCTGTTGTTAGTGACTAAGGCTGACATATTCCTTAGACATAGGACTAGCTGTTAATTAAGAGCCCATACAGCTAATGGCAACTAAGGGATCACACTCATAGTGGAATCCGAACCACATTTTGGCAAATATTTGATATATCTACAATGCGATATCATGTAATTTTTAGATGTGTACTTACAGTATTTTTCACGCTGAATCTAAAAATGCAATAAGTTATTGTCGGAGGGATTCATAAGTGGCCGTAAAACGAAGGTTAAAATTACGAATCTAAGGTTCTTTGAGCTATACTGATGGTAATATGGCGTGGTCTGGACGGATCCGTATGTGGACTGTGGACTGAGTGAGGAGGAAAGCAAACAGCTGTTCATACTCGATTTAATGTGGAATTAAATCAATTTGTTTTGAAACCAAATAGGCCTAATCAGTTCTTATTTAGGCATGTGAGGAAGGTAGGTAGGTCGGGTTTCATGCGGATTTGTGACTGTATTAAGTGTTTTGAAGTGAGGTTAGATTAGGAAGGTAAAGGTTAGGTTATAATGAACCGACTCATTAATTTATGCAACTTCCAGACTGTTTTTGCACAATTGAAATAGTGGGTGAAACACAATGAAATGACAATATCAAAAATGTGTGCACTATAGCCTATAGGAAGGACTAAGTTTAAGTTAGTTTGAATTGATAAGGCAACTTGTTTTTTGAACGCTGAAAATTTTCTTGAGTTGAACCCTACGTTTCATTTATCAGGTTTCACTCCACCAATAACTTAATGTTAGGCTTATTAAATTATATTTCTGCTATTAAATAATATGTTTGGCCTAGTAGGCAGTAAAGGCTGCACTTTACTTGACGTCCTACACTCATTCGAATGAAAATATTGATCGATATATCGATTAATCGATTGCTTCATTGCGATATATCGTTTGGTTAGTTAGGTAAGGTTAACCTAACCTAACTAACCAAACGATATATCGAATGAAAATATCGAATCGAAAAAACAATCGAATGAGTGTAGGACGTCAAGTAAAGTGCAGCCGGCAGTAAAAATTGCCTATTTAGTAAATATTGACTTTTTTCACATACACCCCTCCTTCTATAGACCACTATTATTTTCTCACCCTTCATCCCTTGATCATTAAAAGAGACAAAGCCTGCAGAACAGCTCTAGGCTCATAGACTATGTTTTACTCTGAAATTAGGCCTTGCAATCATTTTTTACAGAAATTAAGTTTATAACTTAACTTACCAGGGCTTTTTGTGTTGTATTTCCCTTCAAAGTCCATTTTAATACCCTAATTTCAATATGATCAGCCAATGAGTACACTGCCTTCAGTTATTCTTAAATTTTCGAATCAGCCTACAAAGGTAAGACAAATATTTAGGCCTAAGTTACATTCAAATCGAAATCATTCAATGACTAACAAGCGATTTGATTTGACATTTTAATATTTATTTTAATTTTACTCTTTCCTTTCACTGACTCAGCCTTTAAGCTCCAGCTGTCATACAAAACAAAATATCAAGTTAAGTTTTTTCAATGTTTCTCTAGCTAGACTGCAATTGATTGCAGCATGCACTTAAAAGTTAAATATACCATTGATTAAAGATACCGCTATTCGATGTAAATGGTTAATCCTACCAAAGATCAAAACTTTGCGTAGCATATGTAATCTTTGATCCTACTTATTCATTCTAAGTATTGATTATAATATACGTGCTGTTTAACATGGTGGGCCACGGAACAGGAACAGTCACCTCCAGGCCAGGCAAAACAAGGGAGGGAAATGGAACAAAAGAAAGAATCAAACTGTCATGGTGAAAAATCTGTTAAGATCTGCGATCGTCCCCAGCAGATAACAAAGTGTCTAAGTATGATACTCCGGCAAAAACCTATTCTATCTGTGTGTTTAAAACCAAAACCAGTTGTACGTAATTCACGTGTTGATGACTCAAACTAACGTTATCTGACGAAGCTAGCAAACAAGAGTAAACCCCATAATTGGCGTTTGCGAAAGAAATTATGGCCTGAAAACAGTTTGTAAACAAAGTCAACTCTTTGTGTCTAGAATTAAACTCTCCGAGTACCACAAACGACATCCTGGAGAGTTTCCTTGGAGTTAAAGGAATAAACAAAATTGACTGTACGGAGCTGAACACTATATTCAAGTCATACAAATCGTATAAAGTGGGTGTTCCTGTGAGCTGTGCTGACACATTGCTGAAACCAGATTTTTGGCCAAACAGTTGCCTCTTGAGAAGGTTGAAGTAATATAGTTTTGGAAAAAGACCAAATTGATAGTTGTAGATCTTCCAGTGCGGAAGCCATGTTGACGAGGCGAGATCAGGGGCTTAAATTCAAAATCGAGGCCATCAAATACTAAGCTCTGAAACCCCTTAGCTACAGCATTTCAAATAATGACCGGCCGGTAATTTTCTGGTTTTGAATGGTTGCCAGATTTGAAAAAAGACTCAATAAAGCCAGATTTTAAGGATTGAGGAAATATTCCATTAGAAAAGAAAATGTTGAAGAAGATATCGATATGAGGAGAAATAATAGTGCTGCAAGACTTCAGTCTTGATGGGGGAATACTGTCCGGACTAGCCCCTTTGTTAGGATCCAGCTTTGAGAATTTATCTTCAATTGCTTCGGCAGAGATGCGCCGTGATGATATTGTCTTGAAATTAGTGAATTCAAGGTTTGGAGGATCTTATATGACTCAGTAAAAATCGACGAAAAGTAGTCAGCAAAGGCGTGTGAGATTTTTACAGGCTCCACAACAACAGAATCATTTACAAGGATTGAATTTAGGACTAGACGAAGTATTCCTCTGCTCATTGACCAAATTCCAGAAACATTTAGGGTTGTTTCTAATTGAAGTATCCATTCGACCATACTGGAACATTGGGCACGAATTAAATTGAAATTCCTTAGGTGAGATTGGCTGGATGTAATCTTGTACATTTGATGGATTTTTCTTTAAAATAGTTAGGCGCTTCAAGTCCGCCGAGCACCATCGAGGAAACGGAGATCTGCCAAGCTTCATCAAGGGACCACATGTAGATACAGCACTAGCAAGATCAGAACAAAAAACTTGAATATCCACTTCAGCACACTCTATAAGTCGTAGGATATGAGAGCTTTTACACTTTTGCCAGAGAGAACTGGATTGTTCATGTCAATAAAAATTAAAACAACACTTCATACATAACATTGAATATGAAAACATTTAACATTAATATATTTACAGAGCACAAATGGCGAGCAGGGAGGTTAGTGAATCCGAATCGGCAAAAAACTCATCAATTGAGTAGAAAGCCATGTCCTTTAGCCACCGCACCAAGACACGCTCAAAGCGCCCTCAAGCAGCCTAACTTTAGTTGGAAGCCTGTTGAACATCTTCAACGCCAAATCCGGGAAGTGCTTTGAAGTTTTAACTAGCCTGCATCTCGGGATGTCCAGATTAGAAAGCCAATCGTATACCATAAAAATAGTCGCAACGTTTAGTGTCTGTGACGAGCTGGATACCAGTAGATGAGGCATGGTCTTGGATATATATATAGCCATGCATAGTGTAGGATAGTGTGCTTCATCCTGGGGGATTAGAGTGTCAAGATCCTGCTCAACAGAGTACAGTATGATACAGATGAAAATATCAAATCAAGACGAGTAACACCTCGTTTGTTAGACGTAGCATTAAGTTAGTTGAGATTGAAAGTTGAAGCAAGGTCAATCAACGCTTGAGACGATTTATTCACACGCATCCTTTCAAGTGAGGTTCAGTCAGTTTTGGGTTGGTTGAAGTCACCAGTGATGATTATTCCTTCAAAGAAGAAAGTGGTTAGAAAGTATCTCTTCAACTGCCAAAGAAAATTCCTCGTAAGCCAGAACATTTGCATTTGGCGGAATGTAAGCAGAACAAATTAGGTAAGATCTTGCAGAAATCTTCACACCAACAAAACACATTCAACGGATTAAATATAGGCCTATGAAGTACAAAGCCACCACGAAGAAAATTTGTTTTTAACAGCTAGCAAACATCCTCCACCAGATTGCTTATCACCGTATAGCTATGGACCATCTTGCCCGTAGTTGTAAAGTTCAAGTTCAGAAGATGAGATGGCGTCGTGCAAATTAGTCTCACACAGACAGATAATATTGTAAAAGTAAGTATTCATGGTTACCTTAAATTCTTCAAGTTTGGTTCTAAGACCATTAACATTTTTGAAAGTACAAAAGGACGTTTTCGAGTGTTAGGTACCGTGGAAGTTTAGGCGTTTTTGGCTGGTCTTAAATAAGGTGGGGACTCCATTTCTGTACTTGATAGTAGGTATTTCTCCCCCTTTTTTTTAACTCTTTCATCAAGTTCATCCCGAAGTTTCATTAGACGCGCTCGCTCTTTTTGTGTACGATCCCTTGTCATATTGATATAGGTCGGGATACTTTGTTTTGACAGTTTCACTTGAAAAGGTGGAGCACAAGCACGGCCGCCTTTGCGGCCGTGGCACAAGCGTCTGACATTGAGCAACATCCTTAAAAATAACTTTTGTGGGGCTTAGTACAATTTTGTTCTTTACTTTGACACTGGTAAACCACATAGTGTAAACTATTTTTTAATATACTAAATACATTAAAAATTATACTTTATCTATGGTTTATCGGGTGTTCCTCCCCTTTTGGGAAAAATATTCTTTCCCATGGATGCGTATACGTAATTAGTAATGTAGGTATTTAGTAGTTAATGTATTTAGTAAATTAAAAAATAGCTGCACTATGTGGTTTACCAGTGTCAAAGTAAAGAACAAAATTGTACTACAAGTTAGTTAGTTACACATCAATGGAGCTACCATGAACTTTATGATTCACTTTTAGCGAATTTCCCTAGGGAATAAGCTATTACCGTAGGTCTCATGGTTAAACTTAGTCCCGGGACCGATTTACTTTTTCATTTTGATGTCCCTAGAAGCCAAAAATACCATCCGTTCAAATTCAATTGTAAATTAAAAATTCCCATGTTATTCTTATGGAGAATAAGAATAAACTGTTGTAGTTTGCTTGTTTGTGCATATATTTGGATCAAACTTAGCCAATCTATTTTATACCAAGCTATTATTATTTTATTAAAAACACACTTTATTACCCTGTAGGCAGCAAACCTAGGTACTCGTTAAAACTAATTTTATTTGAATAGATTTAATTGAAAATCAAATCAGGCAAATGGAAATTCGCTTAGTCTGCAGGTTTGCTGCGGCGGGGGTATTTTACGTTCTGTCTTTCTGAACGTTGGCTACATTGTCTGTCTAAGGCCTCACGCGCGAACTCAAATGAACAAAAACAATTCAGTATAAGCAGTGTACAATAGGAAATAAGAGTACAATACCTAACCTACGAAACGAAGGAAGGAACCAAGAACCAAGAAGAGGGGTCACGAAGAACGAACGAACAGCGGACAGCAGACAGAAAACAAAACATAAAGCCGCAACCGAACCGCACAATAACCTCAAGTGGAAGACAAAGCAAAGGAAAGGTCGGTCCATCATCAATCTTAACTTCTATTTTATCTCTTAAAACTTCGGTCTTCATTAATTTACTTTCGACAGCAGTATCAACTAGCTTCCAGTGGGAATATATTTGAATAATTTAACTCAGTTAAAAATATAGGCTAACTTCAGTTTGGTTACCAAAATAGTGATGAGTTAACTTAGCCTTATTTTTTTAAATTTTCCTTATCAAATTTGCATGGTTAGGGCCTAGCCCTAAATCCTATCTAGGCCTATAGGCATAATCTTCTCAATTCCTTTGGTAAGACGGTTATATTTAAAAAAATTTAGCCTATTACCGAGCTAAACTATTCATTCATTCATCACAGAATCATTTAAGTTATTTTCTTACATTAGGCTAGGTAGGGATGAGGGAAGCTGTTTGTGAAGTTAACTTAAACTATGGTAAAAATTTACATCACCCAACTCGCTCAACAATAGGCCTATAGGCTCTTATTTTATCCTAATTTAACTTAGACCTCTCCCTCTAAAGGTAGGCCTATCATTCTTGAAATACATTGAGGTTAAGTCCACAATTGGCTAAATTATGACTTAATGAATTAAGTAATGACTTTATGACTTAATTTATGACAGCAGGTAACTTAGGCCTAACACGATTTAAGCTTGTTATCTTAACGTTTGGATAAAATATACCACCTTCAAATGACTCAAGTTAATTCAGTCACAAATTCGGGGACACTTCCATATCTGTTGGCACTAATATCGAATGAGTACTTTTTATATCGAATGAGTACTTTTTATCGATACAGTATATCGATTAATCGATATATAACCTAACCTAACTAACCAAACTATCGAATGAGTACTTTTTATCGATATATCGATAAAAGTACTCATTCGATATTAGTGCCAACAGATAGCCTATGGAAGTCTGCCCACAAATTCTGGTAATATGCGGCCGTATTTTTCGGCTAAATGGCCAGCAATAGATTTTATCGGACGCGCGCACTACTCATTGCTGGAGTTATTGCTAGGTTCACACAAGTTATGGTAGGCCTACTGAATAAGAATAAGAATAAGAAAGTTTATTGCCATTGACCAAGTTGTACATAGGAATAGGCATTGTCAAATTACATTAAATAAAATATCACTAAACATATTCATATCTATAGATAACAAAGATTAAGAATAACGATTGAGAGTTTTGATTTACAGTATGAAAGATTCGGCTTTAATTTTATAATTCATGAAGTCCTTAACTGAGTAAAATGGGTTAGCTATGAGCCAGTTATGAATTTTTGACTTAAAAAGAGGAAGAGAAAGGCTGTCTGCCTGAAGAGGCTCGGGCAGCTTATTATAAAATTTCACACAATTAAGTTTAAAAGAATTACCTGTGATGGCCAGCCTGTGATGTGGTATATCCAGTTGTTCCTTGTTTCGTGTATGGTGGAAATGGTAATTCTGCCTGGTGGAAAACTCATTGAGATTAGCTTTAGTGTATATATAAGTACATTGTAGATGTATAAGTTAATGATTGTGCAAATGTTTAGTCTGACAAAAAGTGGCTTGCAGTGCTCCGCAGGGCCAGCCCCCGACATAGTGCGGATGACTTCTTTTTGTATTAGTAGAAGCTCATGAACATGGGGGGAATGGCCCCAAAGTTGTATTCCATATTGAATGTGGGATTGAAACAGTCCAAAGTAGGCTAGTTTGAGATATTCAATGTCAACAAAAGACTTGAGTTTCCAGAATAGACATGAAACTCTCGATAGTTTTTTGCTTAAATTTGTGATGTGAATTTTCCAATTTAATTTACTATCAAGGTGAATGCCAAGAAGTTTGACTGAATGGTCTAATTTGTTTGAAGAGAGTGAAAATTCTATTTTCTGGGTTTTGGATTGGTTACAGATGAGTTTATTTGTAGAAAACCAGTTTAAAACACTGTTTTCTGCATTAGAAAGTGTTTCTGAGAGCTTTATAAGATCTTTATCAGAAGTAAAAATTGTGGTGTCGTCTGTATATATATAACACTGTCAATAGGGATGTTACATGGAAGATCATTAACTGCGACAATGAAAAGAAAAGGGACCAGGACCGAGCCCTGCGGAACTCCTGCTTTAATTGCTGTCAATGTTGAGTTTTTACCCTCCACACTAACAAATTGCCTCCTGTTGGTCAGATATGATTCAATTATGTCTATTGAGTTTTTATTAAGTCCATAAAATTTGAGTTTTGTCAGCAAAATGTCAAACGGAATGCAATCAAAAGCTTTTGTTAAGTCAAAAAGAAGCATGGACACAGTATTTTTATTTTCAAAAGCATTAATAATGTAATTGGAAATGTGAGAGACTGCCATAGTGGTTGATCTACCAGCTCTAAAACCAAATTGAGAGTCAGACATCAACTTATTGGAATCAAAAAAATTATTGAGTTGTTTCAACATGAGAGCTTCAAAAACTTTAGATAAAATTGGAACTATTGAGATTGGACGATAATTTTGACAAAGGTTCTTATCGCCCTTTTTATAGATTGGAGTTACTTTTGAAATTTTAAGTAAATCAGGAAAATAACCATTACGGAGGCAACTATTGAATACAGTAGAGAGGGGTGTAGAAATGTAGTGTATAGTATTCTTGATTATATAATTTGAAAGCCAAAAATGGTCCATGGTTTTTGAATTTGAAAATTTTGAAACTGTTTTTATTACCTCGTCTGGTGTGATTGATGTCCATTTAAATTTGGAAATGTTGTCCAATTGTTTATTGGATTCCAGCAGATCACTGGGTGTGGTTTGGGTTTGGCCAACTTGGTTGACCAGTTCCTCAACAGAATCTGTAAAATATGTGTTTAGTTCATTAGGGTCAAGTGTTACATGAGATGTGCGTGTGGTGGTATTTTCTTGTGTTATTATATCCCAGGCTGCCTTACATTTGTTTTTGGAATTGTTAATATATTTTTCACAGGCTGATTTTTTAGCAAGGGTTAAGTCCTTCCTATATTGTTTTTTCAAGTTATTATAAATATTGTAAGCTGCCTGAGCCTTTACAGAATTATTTTTTAAAAGATTCTTGTACAAGGAATTATAAGCTAGCATGGTTTCCCTACTTTTCCTTAAACTATCATTGTACCAATTAAATCTATTTTTCTTTATAAGAGTCCTACCATCAGATCTAGGTTTCTTTTTTACAAGTGGGGAGCAATAATACCAAAGGTCAACAAATTGATTAAAAAAACTATTGAATAAAGCTTCTGAGCTATTCTCATTGTCCACAATGTTTTGCCAGGACTCATTTTGTAAGGCCTCACAAAAAAGATTAAGATTGTGTTTATTTTGTTTTCTGACAAACAATGTAGGTCGATTTGCATTTTGAGTATTTGTGGATGATGGTTTACAATATTTAAAAAGCAACGGGTCATGATCAGCCAAAGCACCTTGCAGAACTGAAATTGTATATAGATCTTGAGTAAAATTGACTAGAACATTATCTAAACAGGCATAGTTTCTTGTTGGGAGTTTATTGCTACCTACCAGGTCAAGTGACCGCAGTAAATTCTTGAAATCAATTGAGATTTGCTCATCTAGTTTTGCCATTTCAATATTGAAATCCCCACAGACTATTACTTTTTTACCCAAGCTAAGAACATATTTCATTGCCTCTTTAAATTGAACAAAAACTTAAATTGAACTTATATAACTTAGGCCTACTACTTATGTTGTACCACGATTACTAGAAAAATACCGGTATGGATCATAAACATAAACAAAATGACGTTGGCCCGAATCCTAACTAGGCCTAATAGCATTGAACATATGTTTTGGCAGTTCCATTTAAGCAATGTTAAATAATGTTTATTTTCGGACCAAAAACGTCATTTGTTTATGTTTATGATCCATACCGGTGTTTTTCTAGTAATCGTGTGTTATACCTATTGCATTTTTTGCCATATCTATCAAAATTAGACTAAATTTAACTTAAGCACTTTTTACCTTTGGCACTTTTGGGGGAAATGACTAAGTTATTTTTATCCTGGAAATCGTGTTTGAAAATTGCAAAAAGCGCTAGAAATCAATGATTTTTGGGGCTTAACCTAACCCAACCTTAGGTTAACAAAGTGTGTCAAAAATTACTGATTTTGGGTAAACCAAGGTTAAGTTAAGTTTGGTTAGTATTAAGTTATTGACACATTTACTAGTCAAATGTGCCAATATTTAGTGATTTTAAATGCATTTTACAATTTTCAGTTGCGTTTTTCAGCAGAAAATAAGTTAATTTAGGTATTTGCCAAAAAAGTGGAGGGTTCAGTTTCTTAATATTCGATAATATATAATAAATAGGATGTAGTGAAAGTAGTACATGCTAATCTACACAAGAGATAAATATTTTCTGTATAAATATAAATACCCGTGAGATTTAACTTCCTTCCAACGGTGAACAGAGGCGATCTGCAGGGATCGGTTTTGGGTCCTGTGTTATTACTTCCCTGCATACACTAGGCCCTTCTTCAACTCGATCATGTATGCTGACGACACAGTCATCATCACATCCGACAAAGACAAAGAAGCATTATAAATCAAATCATATAGCCTATTGCTCTAAACATAGCTATGGTGTTTTGCAACATGAACGACACTGGTTTCCAACAAATCAAAGACACAACAGCTCAACGTGGGAACATTGCGGGAAGAGATGTCGACCTTCCCCAATCTTGATTATGTTGAAGCCACTAAACTTTTAGGGGTAATAATAGACACCACACTGACATGGAAAGATCACCTGGACAGATTATGTAACAAGCTAAATAGTGCTATTTTCGCTCTTCGAAGAGTAAAAAGGATCAGCAACTCTGAAGCAGTCAAGACCACCTACAGTTCAATATTTGAAAGCCATCTACGATATGAAATCGTACTTTGGGGCGCCAAGTCACATAACAACCTACAGCGTGTTCTTGTAATACAAGAAAAGGCTGTTCGAGTGCTTGCTGGAATTGATGGGAGGGAGAACTGAAGAGGTGCCTTTAGAGACCTGGAAATTTTAACCGTTGTAAATCTGTATATTTTGGAGGTCATCTGCACTGTCACCTCAATGAGCCTACAACGGAATGTCAGATGTTCATACCCATAACATCAGACACGCCCAGGACTTCAACCTCCCAACTCAATCACTCCACAAGATTTCAGCGGAATCCAACTTACGCCAGCGCAAGACTCTTTAATACTTTTGAAGAGGGCCTAAGTCCTGACCCTGGCAGGTTCAAGAGGGAGTTACTGAAATGGCTTCTACTCCGCCCTTTTCATAGTATTAAAGAGTAGCCTATTAAGACTGGGAAAAAAATAATAATAATAAAATAACTTAAGATACATAACTGTTGAAGTCACTATGAAGTTGTTTTTAATTAACTATGTTTAAAATCACAATTAAAAAATAAATTTCCTGTTCAATCTTTTCAGGTTGCCTTGTCATCGAAATGGTGGCTTTTGATGGACGAATAAAAAACAGTTGGGTAAAAACCCATCTAATCAACTCTGCCTCAACACCAAATGTATCTCCTCCAAATAACAGCTGTGATAGTGCCAATGAGACTTCAACCAAGATATTGTTGTCACCAGTTCACAAGAGCAAGCAAACACGACTTCTTATTAAAACTGGTAAGTTTTAAATTAATGTTGGCCTCCTTTACCTGTTCCAACGGTCTTTTCACCAGATGGATTTTAGTCTGGAAAATAGCAGTTTGCAGCCTGCTTGAAATATCATTACGTACCTCTGTAGGTAGTGATGTAAAATTCCCGGGAATTTAATATCGAGGAAATATTCCCAGGGAATATTGCCGGCAATATTCCCAAAATTCATAAATTCCCGGGAATTTATTTTTAATTAGTAAGGTAGGTTTAAAAATTGTTACTTAATAGTTAAAAGCCATAATTATAAGGTTAAATCAACCACAAAAACTGAAATATATTATAATACAGAGTTTGAATTGAAATAAATAACTGGGAATTTATAATTTTATATGCTAAATTGCTCAAATCAGTCACTGTGGTAGATTGTTTTAAATAAAACACAAACAATCTATGTTCCTAAAGTGTTGATTTAATACAACTAGTGTACCTGTTGCTTGAATTCGAGCTATTACAGGCGTTATTTTAAAACAAGGTAAACGTTATTTTATAACAGTCATAATTTCTGATGACTTTAAAAGATTCGACTCAATAATTATGGAATTACTCAAGATGTACATAACAGATCGATATAATCAACATTTCTTTTAAATATCTTATAATTTTTCAAAAACTGATATTGTTTTTAGCATTTTCTACAAATAGCCTTACTCATAGCCCCATTAGGTTGTCCATAATAACGATTATAAATTCTAAAAAAAAACCATTTTTTCTATTTCTTCTTCTTGGTGGTGTTCTATGACTTTCCTATGTTTCCATAGTTTGCAAATTAGCTCTTTCAATGATTAGTAAGAAATGCAGCACAGTGTTAATTCAGTTTTCTCTTTAGTATATCAAATTATCCAGGCTCTCTCGCTTTTTCCCATTGTAATATTTACGCCAACCCAAATTCAAATAGGCCTAGAAAACATTTCATTTAATCCAAGTCAGTAAATGTTTGTAGCAAACTGTTAAATTAGCAAACTTATTGACTGTTTATAATTAACATATGTTATTCTTCTCACTTTTAATTTCTGACAACAGCTGGAGTTTCATAACAATAATATTTAGTTATTTAGTTATTTAGTAATATTTTAGTTGTTTGTTTCCCATGTTAATCTTATGGAGAAATATACAAAACTTTAAAGGGCCTCAGGGCCTCACTCCCTAATTATTTTCCTAAAAAGAAAGTTTCCTGCACAACTTCACGTTACGCTCTTTCCAATGACACCAAAAACATGTCAATCAGTACAGTAGTTTCGGAGGAGTAATTGTCACAAAAAACCTGCTTGCGTATTAAATAAGTACGAGAGGTCGTCCAGTGGTCGAAACTCGACCAAAAATATGTAATGTAAACTTACTCACTTCTCTACTTTCACCCCACACTGTAAATAAAACATGTGATTGGAGTTTCATCCATTTGTTTTGATTTTCTGTTTATATTTCGTTGTTATTTCGTCACCAGCATGGCAACGCATAAGATCCATGTTAATTTTTTCAAATTTTTAAACTAATTTTTTGTGCTTATCTTTGAGCCTATTTAAATTTATAAAGGGAGTCTGCACACCTACAGGAAAATAGCTGTCAAACGGTATGCGTAGATTTACCCCACGATGCACACGAGCTGAGAAAAAAGGTTTTAAAGAAACATGCTTGCCTATTAATATATAGATAGATAGATATATAGATAATCAGAAACAAACATAACCTTGTAAATATCCAGGAAATAAAAATATTATTTGAAAAAATTGTTAATTTAACGTATTAAATCAAGACTACATATTAAAAACGAAAAGGTTAGATGGGAAATACTGAAATGACATATTTGCTTTCTGTATTATTTTTTTTTTTAGTTTCCTATTCACTGTCACTTTTTATGTCAATTATATTTCCTTCGTCCTTCTCGTCATCTACATCTCCAAATCCACAAAAATCGTCTTCATTGTTACTTGACAAGTCAATCTCATCCTCATCCCTTTTCGATCTCAAGGATGTCTTCATTTTCTTCCTGTCCTGTTTCCTCTGGGTTGTCTTCTGCTTGCTTACTCTCTCTTAGAGGTTGAGCATTTATGAGTTTCCAGTTATAACAAAGAAATGTCAGTTTTGCTGCTCGCTCAGATAAAAGTCTGTTTCTTTTCTTGGAATGCAATAATTAAAATCCATTCAGTTTCATAAATTAAAAAAAAATTACAGGAATGTACATGGAACGACAACTCTTAGATTTAAATGTAAGAATTTTTACTATAGGTAACATAGTTTTAAGGTTCTTTAACCGTCAATATGTGTTAAAACGTTCAGAATTTAAAACAAATTATAAATTCCCAATTTTTGGGAATATTCCCAGTTTTGGGCCAAAGAAATATTCCCGGCAATATTCCCATTTTATAAGTTCCCTCCCACTGGGAATATTCCCGGCCCACATCACTATCTGTAGGGTAATAAATTTGGCCGGACATCAGCTGAAAAAAAATATTTTTATTTATTGAAAACTTCACAAGTGGCTATATTTTGTAAATATAAATAATTATAAACATAACAAAATGTACATTCAATTTAATTCTGAAGATAAAATCATAAAACAATTTTGAAACTAAGTAGTCTGAAACGGCAGTGAGTGGATACAAAAACATATTGTTACGTCCTTAGGTCCATAGGAACATGGCAGATTTCAACAGCTTTTTAATGTTTGGTTAAAAGTAGTATGTCAAAAAATATTGTAAGTCACTTGTCCAAAAAGTGTTTACTGTACTGGTATAGTAATTTTTCATCCGACTTCGTCTTGCATAGAAACAAAACCCGTCTGGTAAACACTCATTTTCTGGACTAGTTTTTAATATACTATAATAGTACGCCTATGAAAATTACACACTAAATTTCTTAATGAAAAGAGTCCCTATTTGAAATAAGTAAGTTATATTATTTACAAAGAAGCCCTAAAGGTAAAACAAGTTGAAATTAATTTAGCATAGGCGTACTAAATTAATTACATAAATTAATTAACCTGCCAGAAAAAAGTCTAAAACGCAACATTGAGGTCTGGATTGTACGCAGTTAAAACATTTTCTATTTGTTGGAACCCATATCTATATACTTTATTCAAATTATTAGCCACCGTTTATAGGCTAGTTATTAAACAAATGTTTTATATTAGAGGTTTCTTAAAAATCCTTTAAATAGTTCTTACATTGCCAACAACTTTTTATGAAATTAGGGTGAAGGAAGGAGAGGAGTTCTGTACAATATTTTTAGATTTAAAGTGCACATATTTCCAGCCAACGTATATGTTGTATATGCAGTGAACTCTATTTTTGTACAATGTCGTAACTCTTATATTTGTTTAATGTCAGCGGAAGGAACGGGTTATCATTCTTATCAAATATGATTGCAAACCACTCTTACTCTCAATGCATCAGTGTTACTTAATTTTTTTTACACAATATGATTTAATATGTACACAAAGTTGTTATAGCCTACAGAGTGTTCAAAAAAGGTGGGGGACATAATTTACGTAGTGATTCCTTGGGTAAAATAAAGAAAATCAAGAATTACATTTTTTCAAAAATCACTTCGTTAACCAGATATTTTGTATTTTTTAAATAAACATTTATATTTTTGGATTTTTTCAACCGATCTTCATGAAACTTGGTATGTATGTAAAGGTAGAAGAGACCCATGTTAGAAAAAAATGTATCTTGATTCAACTTAAAATTTCAAAATGGCGGCCATTTTAATTGTTTAAACTTAAATTACCTACTCAAAAACAGCTAATTTTATGAAAAAAGAAAAATACCAAGAACACTTTTATTTAGCATTTTAATTCCCTATCAAACGATAGCAGTTCAAAAAGATAAAATAAGAAAAGCTGAAACATTACGATTTTTAGTTGTAAAATTGGGTAAACATGACTACTAGCTTTCTGCCTTATTCTACTCCATTTTACAACTAAAAATCTTAATATTTAAGCTATTTCTCATTTAATCTTTTTAAACTGGGTATGGTTTGATAGGGAATTAAAAATGCTAAATAAAAGTTTTTGAGTAATTTAAGTTTAAAAAATAAAAATGGCCGCCATTTTGAAATTTTTAGTTGAATCCAGATACATTTTTTTCTAACATGTGTCTTTTCTACCTTAAAATACATACCAAGTTTCATAAAGATCGGTTGAAAAAAATCCAAAAATAAAAATGTTTATGTAAAAAATACAAAATATCTGGTTAACAAAGCAATTTTTGAAAAAATGTTGTATTCTTGATTTTCTCTTTATTTTGACCCATGGAATCACTTATGTCCCCACCTTTTTTGAGCACCCTGTATAAACAAACTGTTGTCTTCTTAAGTAGGTGTGTTATCATCAATATAAATAAGCCTAATAAAGTATATAAAAATATTAATTTTTAATTAATCTAAAAATGTACAATTCTAATAAAGAGTGTTGAAGTATATTATGATCTGCATTTAATTAAAGTTAATTGTAAATAGGTGATAAACGAGTTGTTATAAAACTTTTATAATGTTTTTAACAGCGGCATTAGGCCTACATTGTAATTGCCAATACAAGAAAAATCAAAACCAAATTGATACACAGTTCTTACTTACAAAACAGTAACTTTGAGCAGGTTTACTTTTAAAATAACAACAAACCTAAAATTATTGCAAGTCCTGTCGATCTAAAGAATCAATCTTGTAAACTGTATGCTTAACTGGTACAACTTATAGAAGAATTCTTAAATAGGCTACATATTCTAAGACTTCTGTAAATTTTATTTAAAAAACGTGTGTCAACTCTGTTTTTGACAAATTTCCTTCGGAAAACAATTATATTTATATAATATGTTTTAAATGCAGGCATGTGTAAACAGTTTGTTGATTACTAAGGCTATCAGTATGAATGGAAAGTTCAACAGCCTCTTCTCAGGTGACACGACCTAGTTGACGCAGCTCTGACGTATTAAGATGACTCACTCCTAGGGAGAGCTTTGTCTCACATCACCGAAACTTAATACCCTGATTCAGCAAACCAAATAATTGTTATGTACTGATTTCCTAGTACTGAAATGATCACGGTTCTCTTTGTTTGAGATAGCTGAGATGTTAACTCCCGATTGTGATGGAAAATAAAATTTTTGGCGATTGCACAAAGAGAGTGAATAAGAATTTGATTGAGGGTTGAAATAAGTTTAAATTCATTTAAATTTTCTCTTTAATAGTTTTGTAAATTAATTTTTGGAGCAAAATTAGCAAACAAACCAGAATAACATTTTGAAAGCAAACTATTAAACTACCGTAGGCTATTATGTAATAAATTAAAATTATTAGTTTAAACCTCAATGATTTGTAATAATTTGTATACTATTTACCATATTGAAAAATATCCAATTTTCAGATTCTTTTAAATTTTAAGAATCAAATAACATCAGTTTTGGGAATCTAAAATCAAAGGAAACATGGTTAAATATCTTATAATGTAGTACATTTTTAAGTAAATCAGCAATAATTATCATTATGTTTAGAATAATACGCCTTATTAAATATAGCCTAAAGAAGCCCAGTATCGAGCCCAATATGAAAGCATTAGCAAATTGGTGAGCTATTTCACAAAAAACAAATCATGACTGCAAATATGGCTACCATTGATATAGGGTACACATTTTTGAAGTAGCGTGGTTGGTCTAATGGTTTGATGTAGGACTTTTTCCCCTAGAGGCCGGATTTTTCATCAATGGATTTTAGCTTTTTAATAATTCCACCAGTCTGTGGAGCAGGTGTTCACCTTAAGCTTTAGGTAAAGACACCATATATATTTATAATACCCCGGCCACAACTAAGCAGACTAAGTGAATATAAATTTGTATGATAAGATTTTTACTAAACGTTTTCCATAAACAAGACATATATCTATTCCCCATTTAAATAATATTAGGTTTAATCAGTACCAAGGTTTGCTGCTACGGGGAAGGGGTTTTTTCCACCAAATGTTAATAATATAGGAATAGTGCCAAATTTTATCAATACAGTATACATATCCATAAACAAGCAAACTACAACAGTTCTTTTTCTCCATAAGAATAAAATGAGAATCTTAAATATACATTATTTTAGTAATTTTATCCGTAGCGTTTAGTTTTACAACAATGCTTCTATGTACAAAAATAGTTTTTTTAAGCTCTACAAGATGACTGTAATAAAAATTAGGCATTTTCATGTTAAAGGGTAAAAATTTGGAAAAAACAATTTTTGAAAATTTCAAAACCTTATCATACCCTGTTACTATGTCCCCATCCCCCAGTTATGGTCCCATGACTTGCTGGTTCCTGAACTCATTTAAGTTGATCAAACCCTACACCTTTAAGCCAAATTTCATCATAATCTGACCTTAATTACTTGTTCATATATAAATACATACAAATTTCAACAAATGGTGATTTGGCCTCTATGGATATCAAAATAAAAAAGTAAATCGGTCCTAGTTCTATGTATTAATATTACACCTACAGGTAATAGCTACTTCCCACTAAAACAAAGGACAAGTATGCTGTCGAGTGGGGAATGACCCTCACCAATTCCCGGGGCAAGTACATTCTGGACTTTGCTGCCAGTACCTCTCAGATGACTTTCTCTGTACTAGAGAAGTCCCTAAAAGCCTGTAATTAAATCAAAAGTGAAGGAAATTTGACTTTCTGCAGTGAAGTTAAAAATTGCCTTATGTAATGGATTCTATCCACATCGTATGATCTTTGTTTACCAATTTAGTACTGCACAGTAATCAATTGAGTGCAATTGCGCCGATACGGGGCCCTGACCTATGTTTAGTTCCGAACGCTGCGGATTTGAATGTTTACGCTGACTTATCTAGTACAGTTTATACCTTCAGAAATATTTGCTGAACTGTATTACCTAAACCTTCGCAGTTACTAGAATCTTCTTTGCGTACTTGCTATAGGCCTAATACATCGAATTGCTAATTTGGTCAGACATTTTTGTTTTAGTAATTGTTTTGTTGAAACGTTTATGTAGTTCTAGGTAGCAACATTTTTTTGTTTTATATATTTGTTTATGAGGATATTTTGAGATATTATTTAACTAATGAAAATCTTAATTAAATCAAATAAAGTACAGTAATCCAATTCACAGTGCATTTATTAGTTCAAAGCATGTGCTGATTCAAAGCTACCTCAAGACCACTGCAATTAATTGCTTATTTAGTCTGTCGATACACTGTGACAAACCACCCAATCTATTCACATATTACTATGTTTAAAAAGGGAAGAAATATTGTACATAGGCCTAAGCTACAATTTATATTAGATAGAGTTACCAATACACTGACCTGTTTCATCATTTGTGTTTATGACAAAACACTTCACCACCTAAATAATCTGCCTGTATTTTAAATGCTTAACAATCACTTCTTTTCCAGACATGTCCGTGCCCCAGAAAATAGGACTGAATTTAAATACTAGTGTGCATTTGAAACAAAAGGCGCGCTACAACTTAGTGCACCTGTTCAATGAGCTAGTCATTCTCATCCTCTGCGTTTTTGGAATCTTCTGCTACTTAGAAATCCAGAGGTTAAAGGAGGATGTAGAAATACTAAAATTACAAATGAGGGCAGTGGAGGATCCAATTAAGCTTAACTTGGAAGTGATGAACACACTAATCAAGTCCATTGAGCAGAACAAAGAGGATATCATTGAGGAAAATGAAATGTCAAGACATTCAGTGGAGAAGCGTGAAGCTGATAGTGCAGAAGACGGGAGACCTTGTTCAAATTGTTCCAGCATTTGGAGAGTGGCTCGGTCTGTTAGCAGAGGTAAACACACACATTCCAAGAACAGAAACGGATCTCACGGCAGATGTTTCCGTACATCTGGTAATTTCAAATGTCAATTAGATGCATGACGAATGCTGCTCGTGAAAGCATGATACTAGCTTGAGTTTTGAACAGATCATTCTTCTTTACATGCTCTGTTAGAAATTATTTCACTGTGCACTTTCAAAGTTGAATCTATTTATTTATTATTAGTTACTTGCATAAGTTACTTAGTTATGGGCCCAGATAATTTTGTGTGGATACTGAATAGGCTGCTCTGACATCCATCCAAGGCAATTTTTAACCATTACCTTTTAAATTATTATTTTTGGTTTCAAGTCGATACAACATGTTTAATAATTGGGAAACATTTTCAAAAGCATCCAAGCTTCTCCATTTTTTGTTTTATTATCATGAAGTTAGTTTTCTATATATTATTGGTGCTTCTTAAAATCTCTTGACTTGCTCTTTAATAAGGAAAGCTAGTGTTTGTAAATCTCATGTATGGAATGACCTTTGTAGTTTCAAATCTGATCTATAAATAAGTGTAACCTATTTAACATACGGTAGCCTATTATTATCTATTACACAGACTAATTACTAAAATTCTTCTTTCACTATTAATTAAGACTATACTTTTCAAACTGAAAGGCCAAAAAGTCTGCTAAAATTTTCAAAAAATAATAACGACAGAGCTACAAAACTTAGAACAAAGTCACTTGATATAAAAATCATTTGAACTCATTATTTAATACGCTACCTCCTTAAAAGAACAAGGAGCTTAGAAGTCATAAGAAAATATTTAACATAAGTATAGGTTGATGCACATCAAATTAAAGGTCTTTGTTAGTGGAATGCAATGTCACAAACCCAAACGGACAACTTAGTCAAAAATGGCAGCCGTTGAAAGATTTCTTAAATTTGCAATTTTAAATCTATGAACGGCTCTAATTTTTGACTCGGTTATTCGTTTGAGTTTGGGTTTTTGATATTGTATTCCTGAAATAAAGACCTTTGATTTGATGTGCATATCAAGCTATGGTTAGATTTATGATTTTCTTCTGACTTCTAGAAGCCACTGGGGGAGGGGAGGTTTGTGTTTTTTGCCCTGAAAGGTAGCATATCACTGAATAATGTGTTATAGTAGTTTACGTAACGATTGCATAAAGATAGTGTTAACGATTTGAGTAGAAAATTTAAGGTACATGACACTATTTACGCGAGTTACGTACACTACTTTACCTATGACAGTGTTTTAATCACTAAAAATCACTACTCATAACTTATAAGAGAGGTTATGTTTTTGTTTATAACCTCTCATTGCCAGTGACAGTGATGCAATGAAACATTGTACCAAACACTAATTGAACCACTCAACAATTAAATTGGCCTGAACAGCTGATTAGTTGAATTTGGAATCATTACAATTTCACTTCTTCTCTCTCAATCCTTGAAACTCATTGGTACATTACCTGTGTTGTTATGAGTAAACCATGCTGTTATGAAAGTAAACAATGCTGTTTTAGCCTATGTGAAACTTTTCAATTCTAAGAACTGAACTGAAACGGCTACTTTAAAAAACGGTTGTAGGTAAAAATGATTTTTATATCCAGTGACTTTGTTCCAAGTTTTGTAGCTCCATCTTTATTACTTTTTTGAAATAGTTTGCCGCTCTGGGACTCTTTTGTCATCCTTTATATTTGTTGTTGTTGTTATGTACTTATTGCTACTTCTGATTTTTGACTACCTACTTGAAAAAATAAACTTTTTTGATGAAGACACAAATTATATTAGAGCTTCTGACAAGTTTTTAGCAAAATTTATAGCACCAAAGACTATCAAAGTTGTTCTAATTAAGTAATCAAGAGTAGGTGATGACAATAAGTATTTCACAAATCTTGTAGAATTTAATGTATAAGGTTCAGAAAACATCTAAATTTTTTTGCAATGTTTACTACTGCAAGAATGTTAGTTTTCTCTTCCTGCTTGCCATTTCAGGGCTGCAGGTAGCTCAATGCCAAAGTAAGAACAATAGCATTGCTATGGTATGATGCATCAACATGTCCAATACACCACTATAGAATACTAACTACATACTACTAACGACAACAGCTTCAATTAAAATTATGCTGTGGATATTCCACTACCAATTTTGGTTGCTATTTTTTTTAATATTTCTCACTCTGTGTTTTACCGTTTTATTAAGTTTGACTATTTTTGTGTCACAAATAGATTTTGTCATGAGTTATTCTTTGCAGGACCCCTTGCTTTGCATTTGAGAGGAGCTCTGCCTGAGATAACTGTTAGGGATGGAGGTAAGTTGTTGAAAGTTTCTAAGATGCTTAAACAAATTAAGTTTTCGCATCCTCTCATGAATGCCACAGAAAACAATTGGTGATTTAAGGCAAAGAATAACTTAACTAATAAAACTTCTCCAATTGAAACTGACTGCCCGAATCCTGACTAATAGAAGAGAAAAACCCCTTAACTGTTAACAAATAAACAGTATCAGCAAATTGACACATACTTTACTTATTAGCTGATGTTAAATTGTTGGGTAAACAGAGGGAGTAATTATGAATTTTTATGGGAAAAATCACACAAACTGCATAATTTTTAAACCATTATTTCAACTGCACTGTGGGGCCGTGCCATTTTGTTCAGAGTTAAAATGACTAAAATGTTATAAATTTCAATAAAAATTTTGGAGCCATTTTTGTGAAATTCTATTTTTCTGTTATTTAATGAGAAAGTCATAATTGAAAATCAAAATTACCAAAAAATGAAAAACTGCCTGGAGATGCCATGGATTAGTACCCATACACTTAATTTAATCAAAATCGGATCACATGTGTATAGGTCGGCCGCTTAGAAAACGACCTGCGCGAAATTTTTAGCGCATGTAAGGGAGGTAACGGCGAGGGAGGGTATGTTCCCCCTCTCCGCCAATGGCTGTTTTCACACTGCACGACCCGACACCAACACGGCGCCGCCCCGGTGTCGTGGGAGTTGGAATCCTGTGTTACCAAATGGAACTGCTTACACAATGATATAATAACATTTCATGATGCTCAAATATTGATGCGATTTAGGCTATACAATATTTTTTGCAGGACCTATTTTTCTCAAGTTATGAAGAACGTAATTGTTTACATTTTGATCAGCTGTATAATTTAATTGCTGTTAGTATTTATAAAAGGGCGGGGGTGGGGCGGCAGCGGGGTGGGGGAAGAGCCATAGTCTGTCTCACTCCCACAGCTCAGTATCTCTCTCTCTCACCAATGCTACGAGGAGGACGCTTTCTAAGCGGCCAACCTATAGTCTCTGGCTCTGTACACATCCACTAACACACACACACACACACACACAGACAGACAGACATCACTTCAAAAACTACTTTTTTTGGTTAATTTAATTTTGACAAAAAAAATACTTTTTCCATATAGTATGTATAGAGAGAGAGAAAGTAAAAGTACAGTTTTCTGATTTAATTTTCACAAGACTACTGTTAAAAAACTCAGCTGATTTCTTTTTTTCCAAAACTGTTATATTTAAAGCAATATAATAAGCATAATCATAAGAATAATATAATGTGATTTTAGGAGTCATATCCCCGTGGTACGTTGATAAATCATCCTCTGGTGGCTTCCTCCTGGCAGACGGAATCATCGGAGAGAGGAAAGGAGTTTTGGAAGTGGTTGAAGAGGGTCTCTACTATATCTATGCCCAGGTAAACTAACCTCATCACTGCAGAATCCATAAGTTTAATGAGTGATTTATTAGTTTGGACAGCATCTTCCATCAAATGTAGAAGTATACCGATTGCAGGAAACGATGATGCCTGGCATTTCAATGTCTCTAGGAAAGACATTCAGTTTTTCATTTGGCCTAATGTTATGGATAACTCTTTGTTTTTTAAGGAAAATCTAAAAATGTTAATTTTTATAACCATTGATTATGTAACCTGAACAGGTGACTCAAGCAGTTTTAAAAATAATGATTGTTCTGTAGCACTATTGATTGTTTCATTGTTTCAAACAATTTTGCTTATCAAAAGACCTTAAGTAATATTTAATATACAGTATAACAGTCACTAAAAATCATGAAATAATTTATTTTTCTAAAAAAATATTTAAATATAATTAGTTTAACGAGTACTTAGGTTTGCTGCGAAAGGGAGGACAAAAATTGTTTTTGTTGTAAAACGGTAGGCCTACCGGTAATACTGTAGTTTAGTAAGAAATTAATGCATTTTCAAAATTTGATCAAAATATGTTCATAAACAAGCAAACTATAACAGTTGACTTATTCTCCAAGAATAACATGAAAATTTTTAATTTAAATTTGTTTGGAATTTTCTCCGTAACCATTAGGCTAATAACGCTTCAATATACTAAATTATTTGTTTTTTTTTTAAGCTCTACAAAATGGTTTGGAAAGAAATTGTGAAATTTTATGTTTTTAGGGTTGAAAACGACAAAAACCTTTTTTTACCCCATAAAACCCCCCATAAACCCCCGTTCCCATAGTCCGATCATGCTGGTTAGCGAACTCGTTTGAATAAATGTAGGTATACATGTTTGTGCCAAATGTCATCAAAATCGGATCATTTTTGCTCGAGTTATCGTGCTAACGGACACATATATATGAATTTGAACGGATGGTGTTTTTGGCCTCAAAACGAAAAAGTAAATCGGTCCCGGGTCCAGGTCTTACCATGAGTACTACGGTAATAGCTTATTCCCTATATGGGAAATTCGCTAAAACCTAGAGTACAGCACTAGGCCCAAAAAAAAAACCGATCTCAGTCACCAAACTAAGCCTTTCTAAAATCTGCACCTGCATCTTAACACTAATACCGAAACCCCGGTCTGACAGGCCCACAGGAATTTTCAAAAACGCATGTTGGCAACACTTTACTTGGTAGATTCCATTCCCCCAATACCTTCCCCCCTTTTCCTCCCCTACCTATTGATATATCGTTTGTTCATTTTGCATGGGTGCCGTGACCTTGACAGGTCGTCTGTTCATAACATGACCGTCTCAGAATCCCAACGTTAGTGTATTTTAAAGCGGGGTCTCACAGACCGAGGGTTTCGGTTTGTGTGTTTCTAAGCAAAGTCAATTATTTTTCAAATGGGGTCTCACAGACCGGGGGTTTCGGTTAACGTCAGCCTATGTGGGGTTTCGGTATTAGTGTTAAACTGTAACCTTAAATGAATATGTAGGTCTATTTTATAAAAGGTTTTGTTCAAAACTTCCTTTCCATAAATACTTTTGTTCTATATTTCCCTTAATACTGGAGCCTAAAATTAACTTAATAGGTACAAAATGACTCAAAATTACTTCCTTCTAAATATTTAGAAGTTATCACATAGTTAACTTAGTTAAAAAATTTTCAGAGCCACTTTTCATTCCAAGGTTAGTAGTTAATAATGAAATGTGTAATTAAATTTACATTATTAGTAGTTAATGTTAAATTTATTGGTTTAGCAGTGAATCATTTCAACAAATAGGCCTATATTTAACACATCTGGTATGGTATATACGGTATTGTTTTGATTTGAATGTGTTTGGTTAATTTTTTTCTTTTTTAATAGGATTAAGTTTTATTTTCTTAATCCCTTAATATGATCAACCTGCACTAATGAAAAATAATAAGTTTTAAAAATTTTAGTAGGGATATTTTGTTTTAAAAATAAAACGATTTTCAAGTAGCCTAATTTAAAATGAGGTACCGATGGTATCGGAACCGAGAATCGATTTTGGTTAGGAACCGGTACTGGTACTGACATTGAAAAAATGGTTCCGACCCATCACTAATTAAAGTGCTTAAAACTCTAGATTCTAGAATTTTATGGAAGTTTTCTTGTCACTATCAACTGGTACCAGATCTGATTTAAGTTACCAAAATTTTCTGACTATTCAAATGGTTGTTTTTAAGTGCGAACATATCTTTGTTAACTGGGTTGTCTTATTGAAATTGGTGAAATAAAGACGAGTAGTAACAATTCAGAGATTCGTATGACAACTCAGCAAGTGGACATAAGGATAATTAATATACCATATGTTCAATAGGTGACCTTCAAATCAAATCAAATCGAATATTCCTTTATTGCCAGTTAACATAATATATACATGCATGGCTTGCGTCACAATTTCAACCTTAGAGACCTTTTGCAACCTTAGAGTCTTATTGTGTTATGTTAGCTAAACTTTTGTTTGTTTACATTAATAGATTTTATCTTCTATTAAATGTAAACTATAATTTTATTTTAAATTTCTTATTTCTAAACCCCTTCACTGTACACTGGATGTACCTATACTTGAGAATTGAATTACACTACTTGTTCATATTAGCAGGGTTCTATGATTATTTTACGCAAACACTTCTTAAACTAATTATAATTTCAATTTTTTTTCCAATTGTTTGTGTGGAAAAAAACATGTTGGTCTTATTGCTAGTGGTTAAATAAAACCTGATTTTGCAGATCTACTATCTAACGTCCAGCTCACTGAACAGTTACGCTATCAGTGTCCAGCTAGGCGACAGTAGAGGACAGAGGGAGGACACTGTGATCTCTGTGTGTAGTGCGGAGGCTGCTGTAACTAAGATGTCCGAACTGAGCTGCTTCACATCCACCGTACGTTACTTGCGACGCGGCGACCGTCTCTACGTCACCCAGAGGGAGAGGAATCGCAGAATCATCTTCCGTGACAATCAGAGCTTTTTGGGCTTAGTTTTGTTGAACTCCCACCACGTCAATAATTGAGGAGGGTTTAATTTTACCATCTACCATAGTTTTACTGAGAGCCAATTAGTTTCTAAATTTTAATACTGAGGATCGTATGATGTTATTGTTGAAGTAGAAAAGTAAAAGATAATTTTGGGTTTTTAAGGAAATAAAACAAAATTTTGTATTACACTAATTTGCTGTGGTAAAATTTGTTGTTGTTGTATATTTGAGATAAATTTATTGCTTTCGGTTATTTTTGTTTCCAAGATGATTCTGTGGTATTCTTTTTGTAAATTTATAGTGTTATGAACCAGGTTGGAATAAAAATGTAGCATATTACATAGTATAAATGCAAAACTCATACCCCCTGAACATTAAAGTTGTTTTAGGTTTCAAAATACACTACTTGTATTACTACTTAGTGTGTGCAAGTAACTTTTAATTTAATTGGCTCTCAGAAGGCAATGGTTGTTTGCAATTTTAATCATGTGCCTTTATTGTGCCTGCAATTCTCAAGTGCATTTATTGTGCCTAAAATTCCCTAGTGCCTTTTAAAGTTATTTGATATTGCAATACTCATTAAGTACAAGTTGGTTTATGTAGATTTTGTTTTGTGGTTTGTAAAGAGAAATGCATTTACTTAGTGTAAAGAACTATTTTATTAAAATTTTGAACAATTTAGAGACTGATTCATGAATAGAATATAAGTATATTTTAATTAATGAGTAATTAAGATAATGTAAAATGTTGCATCAAACAATTTTTTACACTTTCAGACACAATAAAAATAGATTGTGTAGAGTGTGACAAATGGAAATTATTTCTTTTTACAGTTCTATGATCAATTTTGAATCAGTCTCAAAATGTTCTAATTTTGTTTGAAGTACTTGTATTGTAAATTCGTAGTTTTAAGACTTGTGATCCTTGTGTGATAACAACATACTTAAAAGGGTAAATTATAAATGTATTCCTCAGTATTAACTCATTTGCTTTTGGTGCTAATGACACAATTTGTTTATTGGGATTTGTTACGAACTAAGAAATAGTGTGTGCTCAAAAAGACTAATTGTTAATTTTATTGAATTTATTAGTTAAGAATATACCTCATATCTAGTAATGAGGTTTTACCATTTTGTTGGGACTTGTATTGTATTTAAGTTGAATAATTTTCCTTAAATGTAAGTGTGTCAATATTTTCTTTAACAGGCTTTGATTTAAGGTGTTTTAGAAAAGGTAACTCCGAGACATATTAATAACTTGCATATAAATAAACTTTTTTAGAGTAAGAATGTGAAAATTGTTTAAAACTAATACATTAAGTGACATTTGAAGACAACAATCTAAACACTTCACTTAAATTTATGAAAATGTGATGGTTTTGTTTTTCACTGATAAGGACAAGTAATCTGGAAAGGTTTAAAACCCAAGTTACAAATGGTTCCCAAAAGATATATTTTGGTCTCAATTAGTTTCTCAGGTAAGATGGTTGGGAATTAGTTTTGAATTTAAAATGTTAAATACAATTCCAATTAAACTTTAAATTTTTACTTAACCTTGTATTAAATCAGAAAATAAAAACTAGACTCTTAAGGGAATTTAAAAATACAATGTCAATAATGTGGTCCCATCCAGAAGCAAATGCTTCTTAATGCCCCATTAAGAGTACCTACCTACACAATAACCTTACAAAAAATAATGTTTTTAGTTAGAAAGTTGCTAGTAGGCTATGTCAATCAAACCATAAAAATAAAAAAAATAACCATAAAAAGAACGTAGCAGATTTTGAACCACCGACGCTCTTACGGTCTCTATGTTTTTTGGAGTAACTGCCGTTCGTGAAGTCCAGTAGATTTACCACTCATAATGGACCCTGTTGTCCAAAATGCAGTCACCCAACCATTGATCTGTGATCAGGAACCAGTCCATTACAGGCTACATCAAAATGTTATAGACAACATGTACCGTTGCGCACTGTTAAATTGTCACTGTTTCTGAAGAAACTGTTCCACAGCAAAAACGCGGTGCTCGACCATCCACTGTGCCGTCTCGTGGCAAATTGGATACCATGGTCGACTTACAGACGGCCGGCATTGGACTCGACCCATCCCCTCCTAATAGTACTACGCAGTTCAAATCCGACCATCCTTTTTGCGCCACCCTGTATTTTACAAATTTTAACCAAAAGTTTTGTTTGATTTTAAGTTATTACAAAATATTTTATCTTAATCATCATTGATAATATGCGACCTTCAATGAAACTGATTTTTAAATTTTGAAGTACAGTAACATTAATAGTAGACTTAGTTAGGCCTATAACATATTTTGAAAAATACATTTAAATATCTAGTACTTTAGATTGGATTCATGTAAGGTTAAATAATATTTATTTACCCAAAATTGCATATCGTTTATACCTTGTTTTATCGTCTTCTGTTCATTTCCCCTGAAATATGCACTTGTTTTTCAACATAGCTAGCTACAGCTACCAAGATATGATAGCAGTTCTTTTTACTGATGCAGAAAAATAAAGGGAAGATCATTGAGCTATTTGGAGGAATTTCAATTGACTTTTGAATCCTTAAAATAATTATTAATAAGCATACTTTTGATAAAATATCTTAAATTGCCTCTCTAATTAAAGTTGTATGGTGAATTAACAATTTTTTTAGAAAATGTGTAAGTACGGTCATATTATATATTCAACCGATTTTGGGACTAAATAAAATATATTGACAGAGATAATAACTTTTTGCTAATCCAAGATTTACTGATCCAAACTAATGTATTTTTATCCATATCGGTTACAAATTCCATTACTTGTGTTTAAGGACTTGTTAAGAATTAATTTATAAATAAGAAATTGTGTTATTGATTTATTTTTATCCATATCGGTTACAAATTCCATTACTTACGTTTAAGGACTTGTTAAGAATTAATTTATAAATAAGAAATTGTGTTATTGATTTATTTTTATCCATATCGGTTACAAATTCCATTACTTACGTTTAAGGACTTGTTAAGAATTACTTTATAAATAATAAATTGTGTTATTGATTTATTGCTCAAATCTTTTGTTCCATTGATCTTAAGAGTAATTAAACTGTTATGTAGGTTGCTTATAAAAACCATGTTTTGTACAAAATAAACTGTTTTTAATAGAATTTTGCATTTTATTCTCATTATAGTTGGTGTTTTAAAACTCTGTTTCAGTATTTTACAATTGTTTGTGGATTCAGTCTCAGTCACAAAAATATCACAGTAAATCTGGCTGCATGACGCTTCTTGCACACTAAGGAGGGGTGTGCGAAGCAGCAAACAATTTTTGATTTGAAGGAACGATTCAATTCAAAAAATTTTCGATTTGAATCGATGCAACTCGATTTGAAGCAATATGTCGTTTTTCTATTCATATCTTGTCAATGGAGTGAAGTAACAAAAGGCTAATTAAAAATTACCACATTAGTGTAGTGCAAATTTTTGTTGATGTGTTACTAGGCCTATTCATACACTTATGACATAATATGAATTTTAGGTGAAAAAATATTTATTTTCAATAAATAAGAAGAACCTGTATTGCTGGAAATATCAGTGAGCTGCTTTACTTGCCTAAATTACTTTCATAATTTTTACTTGCAGAATCATATTGTTAAGCATGTTACCTATTTTATAATATTGATTTTACAAATAAAGATATGTTTTAGTGTAAACATATAAAAAAAAAAAATTGCAAGATTTATACTGAAACTTTCAATTGGTTCAAATTGATAAATGAGAGGATAGAATCAGACCTACAAAGTACAAGGAATACATAGCAGAAAAAAATACCAAATTTAGAAGTCTAAACATCAATTACTATAGTCGGGACCACGTAAGTTTGCAGTTGAGGGAGGATTGAATGACCAATGAGAACGGTGCGGTGTTGAAAAATCTAATAATACCAGCTGATTTGAAAATATTGTTTAGTATTTTAATTAGTGTCGTCAACGGACGATGTGGCAACGTCGCACTACCCTTGTCTTGTGATTGGCTGCCACCAACTGCAAACTTATGTGGCCCCGACTATAGTAAAGTATCAAGTAACAATTTTTCAGACAATCTGTTATTTTTAGAATGCTTTTGGAGCGACTTGTTTTGGCTATTACAGCAGTTAAACATGTCTCACACTGCTTACACTTAACAAAAATTATAATCATTTGCAATATCAAAACAAAAAATTATAAAACAGTTAAAGAAATATTTACAAGCAAAGAATTAACTAAATAAGAATGCCTCCGCAAAGGAAACGCAACATCAACACGCTCCTGTATTGCGTTGACTTTCTGCAGGCGTTTTTCGTCAATGGATACTGACTCCCTCATGAATTGAATCGTGATTCGATGCATCGAATCGAATCGGAATTTTGGTGCATCACACACCCCTACGAGTGACTATGAAAAACTTGAGGCTTTCTGCAAGTAAGAGATTATATTTGATCAATTTCATCATTTCATGGCCATGTATGTCGGCTCTTAAGACGTATTGTTACATTAAAGAGCCAGTTTTGTAATCATTGTAATATACAGCACAAACAATCATGGACAGTTAGTTACAGTTGGTGTTTTGACATGAGCAAATAGTATGGAGTAGAATGGGCATCAAGCCAAAGGCCTATTTATACTCAGCACTGCGCCGCACGGTCAGGATTACCAACTAAGGGATTTCTAATCAATTTTCAAAGTGATTTCGTAGTGAGGGGGTAATAGAATACCATGAATTTGAATAATACTTACCCAAAACGTATATATCCACTGAAAACTCAAACTCGAAAATGTTGACGAAAACAATACCTTCTCCATATACTATGGTATAGGGGGAGAAAGTAAAATCATCACTATTATGAAATTTAATACCCCCGCCGCAGCAAACCTGCAGACTAAGCGAATTTCCATAGTTGATGTACAAACCCAAAGACAATTAAGGTAGTAAGGGAACTGGCCAATAATTCTGAACCTTCCTCATCACTAACTGTGAGTACCCTTACAAATTGGAAAAGGCATACAAAACACAATAGCCAAATCAATTCTCGTTTATTACACCTTTAACAATAACCGCACATGCGCAACATGCAGACACTTGACCAGTGTTAGAATGAGCGAGATTAAATATTTACAAAATACATATGTATAGCAATGTTTAAAGCTTGAATTATTGTCTCCACTAGCACACCGTGAGTTACATCGCAAGCTCGGAAGGTCGGATGCGCAAGATGACCGGAACACTCGTACAAGGCAGGACAGCCAGTTCCGTCACCACAGCCGTAACCAGGTCAGGGGGTGTGATGTCGTACGCTAAACTCAGAGGCGTAAGATTCGTCAATGTCTTCCCCTTCTCTTTCATTTTCGAACAATGTAACTCTCCTGTAAAAATATTGACTCGTAAGCTTAACATTTTCCATGTTTAATAGCCCACATACTTTTTACTGATTCTTCAAATTTTTTTGGTTTGGTTTTGATATATTAGAACTTATCTGAACTGTCAAGCATGTAATGAGTAACTGAACTGTCAAGCCCACTCTAAGTAATGGGTAATAGCATACATTTTCCATTTATGAAAAAAAAAACTTTGAGGGCAAACTAAAACAGATATATCTTAGGCGGACATGAGACATGGGACATAAAACATACCAACATGCACGGATATTATACAGGGTGCGGCAAAAAACCGATCTATTTTCTGCAGAGCACTGTTCAGCGACAGGTCGTCTGAGAGTGGTGGGAGTAGGCTCGTTGGAAAGCCTACACAATGCCATTTTATTTTTTGTAGTCATAGAGCAGTGGTCGCCTGAGCTACGTCCAGTTGTTATGGAGAGTCGTTTTAAAAAAAGTATTCAATTCATTCTCAGCGGCAGTTTCATTCATTCTTTCAATTAAGGCGACATGGAGAAGTTCCGTTGCGTAGCACAATAATGGGGTGGGTTACTAACTTTAGAGGTAAGGTTTTTTTTGAGGTTATTTTTCATCCCTAAAGATTAATTAGAATAATAATCTGCTTAATTTGGTTAATTATCCATACAGATAATCAAGACAGAACCTCTCCATGTCGACCTAATAGAATAAAAGCACGGAACTGCCACTGAGTTGTAATGACTGAATAATAACTTTTTTTAAATGGCTCGATAACAACTGGATGTAGCTCATACGACCACTGCTCTATGACTACAAAAAATGGCATTGTATAGGCTTTCCAACGAGTCTACTCCCACCACCCTCAAACGGCCTCCCGCTGAACAGTGCGCTGAAGAAAATAGATTGGGTTTTTTGCCGCACCCTGTACATTAATCTGTGTGTATTAACCAACCAAGTAAACTACAAAATCTACTCGGTTGAAATTTTACACGGTTATCTTTAGGGTTTCCAATAAATCCTGTTGCCTTTACAAAACCGTTAGATCACCACTGCACTGGACTGCCTGAACTTAAAAGGTCCCAAAGTTATACACATTCAACACTCATTTACTTTTCGGAAACAAGCCAAGAAACAGGTTTAATGTGCTGAGCCCACTCTAAGTAATGGGTAAAGATAAAAACACGACTCACCAATTTCATTGTAGACAAAGGCATCTGTCTGTGCTCGCTCGCAGAACTTGTGATTTTCACAGCAGACGAGGACAGGAACATTGCAGCAGTGAGCAAGGAGTGCAACTTGGGAGCTGCCTGCTCGCGATATGACGTAGCCGTTAGCCAGCAATGCATGGGCACCAAGTAGAACTTTGGTGGCCTGGACATTATGACATATAAATAACTTCTTGATCAGAATTGTACGTGTTATTAAATTTACAGAAAGTAAATAAAAGAGAATGATAATGATATTAATAATTGACCTTAATAATTGATATTAAGGTCATTTGCCTATTGGGTCTGATGATGATTGGAGTGTCCAATCAAAATCGATCACCACTTACCATCTTTTTTGTATATTTTTTACCATCTTGCGAGTAACAGTATAAGCGTAAATATATATTTTTTTAAGTGTTATAAGACGTTTTCTTTTATTTACTTTCTGTATTGAACATGTTAATCACATGTTGAACATTTAAAATTTGATATTTTAACTAGTTGATATTAATATTATCAATATACACCCTAGAGCCTTGATAACTTAAAACTGCAGGTTTTTTGATTAGAGTTGTAAAGTATACTTAGATATATTGGTATATTGTGCCTTAAAAAAACTTATAGTACAGGATGTAGGAAATTTATTTTGATAATACACTCAAATTGTCAACAAGAGTCAAGAGATCTAATAAAAGAATAAAATTCAATACATACTTTTTATTGTTATCCATCAACCTCTTAAAAGTTGAAGTCAATAAAAGTATAAAATAGAAATGTAGTTCCCGTATATAATCATATTACATTAGACCCCCTCTTAACCGACCCTAATGGGACCGGACCTAGGTCGGATAACTCAAAAGGTCGGATAAAACAGGTAATCCCTAAAATCATAACATAATGAAGTGCTATTCATTTGGAATTATATAATCATTATTTTGAAGTCATACTTGCATTATTTATAAAATAAACTATTCTTATCTCCTTTTTCATATTGATAGAAAAGTCACAAATAAACACAAAACACAGTTAAGTCAAATAGGCCTACTTTCAATGGAATATATTATTATAATACTAGGCAAGAGTCAATAAAATTCCTATTTTAATAACTTTAATACTTTAATGTATTAATTGATGCTTTCCAAATACATCGTAATACAGTACAGAACCTTTTGTCGACATTAAAGCTACAAGCGACCATTTTGTTACAAAACAGGACGTTTATTTATAGCCTCTCACTGGAGGCTCGAAGCACAAAAACTATCTTGACCTTGGAGTTGATAACCCCCTTTCCCTGCCTTCCTTACAAGTTGCGTTGTTTGTTTACACCGGCGATAAGATAATCAGTTCTCAAAATCATAACGCACTTTATGATGTTATAAATTTGCCGCACAGATAACAAATCAGATCAGATGTGCTCGAGCTACGAACGATGATGACAAACTGACAATAGGCTATGCTATATTTTTTGTGCTCAACACAAAATAGCTTATTGTTAGTCATATCCTGTGGAGATAAGCGTATGGTTCAGTTCTCATCGCCAAGCGTGGGAGCGGAATTGCCGAGATTCCTAGAAAGCGGCGGTTAAACCGAGCTGCTCTCAAATCAAGGTCGGTTAAAACAAACTGTATTATTTTACGATCGAAGGCGGATAATCCGATTATCGGTTAATACGAGGTCGGTTAAGAGGGGGTCTACTGTATTCTAGAACATGGAAATGTATCACACACAATTTACCAAGAGTATATCAAGGTTGTTCACATCTCATCCTGAATCATCTCTACACTGGCTTGTGTTTTAGTTGTTTTTCTTACTTGCATAGCATAATACTACATTGAATGAGTAAAAAATGTTACAATTTCAACAATTGTCTTACCTCTCGCATGATAAAGCTGGCAGCTGTGATCAGTACATATGTGCAAGACAAGCCTTTCTCCACGAGCCGACGAAGCATTTCACGACCTTCCAGCCAAGGCAGTCCGTCCACCACGACCACTCTGAACTTGACACCACTAGCATGGCTCTCTACTAGGATTTGGTACAACAGCGAAGAACTGGAACATACATACTCTAGCTCAGAAACAGCAAGGAACCTACCGATACCTGGTGCCGCTTCTCAAACTATGTGTGTTGAATCTTTGATTGTTGATGGAACTAGATATTCCATCTCATCTCATGTTAAAAGTGGTCAGTTTTTAAATCAAACAGGATGTAGTTGAATTGAGCTACCAACAGAGTGCCCTGATTTAAATAATTTCTTCTGTCAATTATTTATTATTCTGTGAACTCATTACAGTCAAACCGATTGGACAAGTTCTTGTACAATATGTATCATCTTTTATGTCATATCAACTACAATATCTCAGCATCAAAAACTACCCTATAAGGCCGGGGCCACACTCATCTTATCTCGCTGAATTTTTTCCACGGGCGTTACCCGTGGGTTAAGAGATACATTACGGTATATGGGGCAGGCCACACTAGAGTAAAAACGTCCGTGAACGCGTTTGTCAGTCTCACTGGTTTTACCAGCAGAATTAAACAGAATTGCACGTGTATTCTCTACTAACATTCCTTGGGCGTTGCACGTAAAACTAGTCGCGGGGCATTGCGGCTTATGGGAGTGAACACACTCATCTTATCTCGCTGAACTTTTTCCACGGACGTTTCTGGTTTTAACCTGTACAGAGTGCGTATCACGGACACGGACGATTTTTATTGCCAGTGTGGCATGCTCTATCAGTCTCGCTGGTTTGCCCGAAAAACCTATCTCGTGAGACGAGTGTGGCCACGGACAAACGGAAAAACAGTCTCGCTGGTTGAAAATTACAAGTGTGGCCCCGGCCTAAGGGAGACTAGAAAATAACACTTTATTTCAGCGCACTCTGTTAGTGGCTCAATCAACAATGTTATTTTTACTTTTTAAAGAAAAAATTTGCTCCAGCTGGTAATCTTTTGATGAAATGTCTGCTTCAGCATCTAAAAGTCAATAAGAATAAGAATAAGAATCCTTTATTGTTATCAGACAAAGTTGTGCAATAGACATTGTCAAAGCTATAAACAAAAAAATGTAACAAGAGTCATGAACATTATCATAATGGACCTTATGTAACATACATATACTACTTAGCCTATATCACAGAAGAGATCACAGTTGTCAATTGAGAATAAATATCATAAAATAAAAAATAGTTGAATAACAATGCATGTTACTTAAAATCTATAAAATCAAAATCAGTAGCACTCAAATGTAAAAATTCATGAACAGAATAAAGTTGGTGATTTACAAGTCCATTTGTTACAACAGTTGATCACAGAATGGAGAATCACTAGCCTTGAAATTCTTATTAGCCTACTAAAAAGTAAAAAATATGGTTGTAGTATTTTCATTGTTAAGTATGAAACCATTGGTACTAAACCAGTTTGATACACTTTTAAGGGCACTTACAGAATTCAAATTAACAGTTTTTTTTATCAGAACCAGCATTAAAAAAAGTAGTGTTACCAGCAAAACATACAGTTTTAAATGGTACCCCAGCCACAAAGTCTCTGGGCAATGGTTGGATGTAAAAGTGTTGCGTTGTTCAGCTGTAAGGAAAACTGCCATAAGCTTAAAATAATTTACCACAACAGATAAGCTAGAACAAAAGAATTCCTGAGCAGAATGCAGAGTCCAGAGACAGATTCAACTATCAAATGAATAAGTAAGGAATACACTGGGTATCATAACATAGAAAGTAGTATTTGCCATTAACCTCTAATTCTATTTATTTTAATCCAAGAAAGAGAGGTTGTCCAAGGAGAAGAGTGAAGTGTAAGAAGAATTAAGAATTTTTAGAATTAGGAATTGGAGAAGATTGGAAACAAATTGTGATGGAGGCCAAATTTCATCGTGGGCTGTAGCGCCAGAGGGTAATTTGTAGGGATGGGTCGATTCCTCTTTTAGCGAATTTCCCTATAGGGAAGTAGCTATTACCGTAGGTGGCACGGTAAGACCTAGACCCGGGACCGATTTACTTTTTCATTTTGATGTCCCCAGAGGCCAAAAACACCATTCGTTCAAATTTTTATATATGTATATACATATAGACTTATATATATACGTCTGTGAACGCGATAACTTGAGTAATTTTTGTCCGATTTTGATGAAATTTGGTTTAAAAGTGTAAAGCGGGATAAACTTGAATGAGTTCGCGAACCAGCATGATCGGACCATGGGAACGGGGCTTTACGGGGGGTTTTATGGGGTAAAAATTGGTTTTTCTCACTTTTGACCCTCAAAACACAAAATTTCCCAATTTCTCTTTAGACCTTTTTAAAGAGCTTAAAAAAACAATTAATTTAGTATATAAAAGTATTTTTGTTCGGTTAATAGTAACTGAGAAAATTAAAAAAATTGTAAATTTAAAATTCCCATGTTATTCTTACTAAGAATATTGTCAAATGTTGTAGTTTGCTTGTTTATGGATATATTTTGTATTTTGATCAAATTTATTTATTTTGTACTAAGCTATCAATATTTTACAAAAAAACACACTTTATTAGTTTTCTTGTAGCAGCAAACCTAGGTACTCGTTAAACTTAATGTTATTAAAATATATTTAATTGAAAATCAATTAAGACAAATGGAAATTCGCTTAGTCAGCAGGTTTGCTGCGGCGGGGGTATTTTTGATTCTGATACCGATTCTTGCAAATCGATTCCATAGATTCCTAATGAGTAAAAAAATCCTAATGAGTAAAATACCATAGAAGTAGCCTAATTGAATAACAAAATTTTTTTTCAGATTTTCCCAACTCACCATTAAAAAAGTATGTTATTTATTTATGACTTTTTAAACTCTATAATTTAATTCTGATAACTGAGATTTTTCATTTTATTATTATAAAAATAAACAGGCAACAATTCAACAGGCCAATCAAGCCTACAAAAACTATAATTTATGTAATCAAAAATAAAAAGTTATATGATTGTATTTACTTATTTATCTTACTGATTCCTTTTTCACCTACCATTAATAATGTATCATTCATGACTAAGGCCTTGGTATAGCAAGATTTTTAATTGGTGTTTTTTAAATTTTCTGTTAAAATTCTGTATTCTGAAAAATAAATAATCAAATTAAATAATGATCTGTCATTAACTGTGGAACAGATTTCCCTACCGTAAATCAAGTAAAAAAAAAATCCCAACCTCCATAGCCTAAAATGAAAATAATATTTTTGTCGATTTAAACCAATTAAACTTCCTCAACCATCATTTTATGTTAGGTAATAGGCACCTACTTAATTGCGCTATACCAACGCCAAAACCAAGTCGTTTGAGTCCAAAAACGTGCGTTAAGAAATAGTATATTATTTTGATGAGTGAAGGAAAAAGAAAAAATATCACAGATGTTGAAATATAGCTAAGTTTTGAGTAAGCTCAAGACGAAAGTACCGACGGTGTGACAAAAAAATGGTGTCGGTAGGCCTACTTTTTACCACGACAAAAATATATGCTTAGCTTTTTTTTAAAGTAAAATTTTATTTAACCCATTCACTTATGATTTTTTTTTTACCCGCCTAGGCCAAAACAAACAAATTTGTTGTGGCTAGTTTCATTCATTTCTGATTTAATTTTTTTTCAGGCAACATTTACTATTTATATGCAAGATATTATTATTTTCTTATTCAAAATTAAATGTAGATTCAAAATATATAAATATTTCCCAAAAAAATATAACTATAATTTTTTATTATACCATATAAAAATAAAATAAAAAAATTAAAAAATTAAAAAAACTTTTTTATTGGTCATTTTTAGCTACATAGGGCTCATATATGTTTTGGAACTAGTCTATAATACTGTATGACACTTATAAAAACTCACCAAATGTCAAGCAAAGTTCATTTTCGTGTGGTATGCCTTGAAACACTCTGGCATGTGAAGTGCGACAAGGCAGAGCTCACACTCCCATCGGCTGTCACTGCGCTTTCCCTGGGCACTACACACCTTACATCTTCTTGAAGGTGTTTGTTTGACTTCATTTGGAGGAATAGGCCTAGGAAAATGTCCCCAAGTTGCTGCCTGGAGCCTCAGAGGTGTTTCTGAGTTGGATGATCGTCCTCTTCGATTGTACGGTGGCAGTTGTCGCGACTCAAACATTTGCTTGACAAACCTCTCCTTGAACTCACTAAACCCCAATTTTTTTCTGGTTAATTTTTTGAACACTACATAAGAGTTAAAAAGGCCAATGTCCATTATGTAAAAGAAGATCTTCTTGTATCCCTTAGCATACCTCCTCATACTAGGAAACGACGCTAATTGCTGATCCTCGCGGTCAATTCCACCCATTGAACGATTATAGTAGATCACTGGTTCTGGCTTTGTTATAATTTCTTGGGTAACTCTGTCTTTCTTGCCAGTTGATCTTTTGTCAGCTTTTTGATGAAAGGTAGACAAAATGCAAACTTGCTTCTTGTCCTGCCACCTTACTGCTAACATATCGTGGCTATAGGCTGTCTCGTAGTCGCCCAACTTAAGTTTACCCTCTTTGAAGCTCTCTGGCATGTTTGATCTCCACCAGTTAGCTGTTCCAATTACATTGAAACCTATTTGCTTAAGTCTATAGAAGAGAAGAGGTGAGGAATACCAATTATCAATTGTCAGATTATGTCCTTTTCCTGCCAAATCTTTTGTCATTTCAACGACTATCGCCTCACTCGTTAACAGCTTTTCCTCCTGTGTAGAATCCCCACTTCCTTCTTCAACCGGTACATTTTCTTTGACTTCAGCTCCAGTATAGATCTTAAATTTAGAACAATAACCACTTCCAGATTCACAACACTTGTAAAACTTTATGCCAAATCTGGCTCTCTTCTTGGGATTAAATTGGACATAGCCCAACCTCCCTCGGAACTTCATAAGACTCTCATCGACAGCTATGTTTTCATCAGGTATGTACAGATGGGAAAACTTCCTGTTCATGTACTCAATAACATATCTTAACTTCCACAGTTTATCATTCACAGGTTTCCTATTATTGTCTGTAAGGTGGAAAAATGTGGACAGTAGCAAAAAACGGCGGAATGGCATCACTTTACGAAAAAAAGGGGTCTCAGTTACAGCATTAGGCGACCAGTATGATTGTATGGTTCTTTTTTTTACTAGCGACATAAGGACACAAAGTGTATAAAAACAAGCCATCTCATCTGCAGTTGTGTCAAACCATTCTGAGTATATAGTTTTTCCTACCCCGCCTGCTTCGTTCTTTTTCTTAATTGTTTCTTTGGCATAATTATTAGTCTCTGTTGCAACATGTTGCCAAAAGTCATTATCAAGAAACGCATTGAAAACATCTAATTCAGAGGGAGCTGAGCCTAAACTTCTAGCCAAACTTGCTCTAACACCAGGACAACCAGTAAAAGGGATTTTATTTATTATATTACTTTCTATGGTACTGGTCCACTGCCAACCCTCCTTTTTCTTCTTTTTTGGTGGAGCTGTATCGTTACTAGTTTGAGTTTTGGACCTTTTAGTAGGCTTAGATGGTTGTGAAATAGCTTTTTTTCCTATAGGCCTACCTCTTCCTCTAGACCTGCCCCTAACAGGTTTACTTTTAGGCCTAGGGTCAGGAAAGCTAGGGTCGTCAGCTTCCTCACTCGGTGTAGGTGAGAGGGCAGGCACGATTGAAGATGCAAGCCTGTCAAATAATTCAGGCCTAATAGGCAAATCTAAATCAGATTGGACATTTGGAGGGGTCATAGGCCTATGCCTGCCACTATCTATATCATTTATAGGCCTAGAGTCAGGGAAACCAGGGTCGTCAGCTTCCTCACTCGGTGTAGGCGAGAGAGAAGGCGCGCTCATACTACCGCGGTATAACCGATCAAGAAACTGGACTGATTTAGGCAATTCTTCATCACGTGATGGAGAAGATACATGCTGATCAAATATTTCAGGCCTACTAGACAAATCTGAATTATATTGGACAGTAAGGGCATCTGGAGGGGTCATAGGCCTAGCATAGCTGCAAGAAGGCTGTTCAAGCAACAACTGGTCACTTTCTAATGGCCTAGGCCTAACACAATTAGTATTATGTTCTGGGGAAACTGTGGTCTCATAATCAATAGGCGTATTAGACTTATTACTCACTTGAATTCTGCTCCCTTCCAAATCATCATCATCACTCCAACCACTCTCCTCAAACAAGTCACAATCACTGTCACTGTCACAATCCCCTATAAGTTTTATGATGTCACTTTCATCTAACTCTTTTCCACATTCATCCACGAATACCAAGTTATTTTGAAGACTCATCGTATTATACAAAAGCTTTTCAATTGAATAATATAGTAAAACAAGATACTGTAGCTCAATCTTTATCACGACGAAGAGAAACACGACATGATAGGCCTAATAACTCAGTCATTATAACGACGAAAAAGTAAAATACTGATAAAAACTTACACTAAGTAAATTCCATAACTTATTTTATAAGATAACTACACTTTTCAATAAAATAATAAAGTAAAACAAGGCTCTAACACAATGTTTACATCGTCGAAGTAAACACAACAACGTATCAGCTGTGAAACCAGTGTAGACGTCGTCAGCTGCTAAGTTGCACCATTTCAACTTCAGTTTTTTTGCCGATTGGACTGGACTGAGATGACGAAAATATAACCAAAAGAAAGCCTGGAAATCATAGAACAAGAAGCATATGCGATCTATTGGATTTCTGGGGAACTAACTCGGCACAAACAGGTTTTAATAGCGGACGGCGATTCGCCGTCGCTTCACACAATGGCTAACGGGAGCGCGACGGCGGATCGCCGTCGTTGTAAGCGAAGGGGTTAAAGCAAACAAAATAGGGTTTTACACAGTTGTTTTATTTGCCAAGTAAGCTGGTTGAACCATTGACTAAACAACACAAGTAGCCTTCTCATCCCATTGTAAATTATGAAGCTCGTTTGTTGTGTCTAGTTCATGGTTGTAGGTACACTTGTTAATTATAAATTCGTTGATCGATACAGTAGTATAATCTGTTAATACAATTTTAAATAACGTATTAAATGCTAAACTTTCACTTTCTGTCTACACAAACACGAACACAGACAATTACTTATTGCGATCAAGGTTAAGTCGATACCGGCAATAGTTGCTCGCACTGAACTAGAGCTACAACCAAATGTAGCACTGAATGCGAGAATTGAGACTTTGGCGGCCATATTTACTAGGGGAATAGTACTTTGGAACTACGGCATTGCAAATGCCAACAGCCAATGAGCTGATTGATTCTTCTAGTGGTACCAACATAACAACGTTTTACAGCGTCTCGATTTTCTAGCAGAGTTGCCGTGCCAGTGATACCTCCATTTGGATGTTTTCTGTCTACGGCTATTTTGTTTCGTAAAAAGCAAGAGCGGTTCCATGATTCCGTTCTCTTATCACACTTAGATACGATAAATAACTGATAGCGCACGACAATTTTGGGCCGGCATGAACTAAGCCGGTTGTCTGATTCAGAATTTAAACGAACAACAAAACATTGACCATGGCAACTTCCTTAAACATATGAGTTTCTATATGGAATTGGTATCGAGAATTGTAAGTAATATTTCTGAACTGGTGTCGAATCGAGAAATTCTGTTACCTGCAATACAATTAATATTAGACTAAGACACGTAATTCAAGCCTTAAAGTTTTGAGGCCGAGTTTGGCTTTGTTCCAGCTATGTTATTCCAGATTGACACTGCTACTACTGTGCTGCTACACATTTTAGATAGATAGAGCTGGCGGGTGTCGGCGAGTCGGCGTATTCTGTCAGCGATACTCAAATCTTGTTAATCGAATCTTGAATCCGAATCTTTTCTTAGGATTTCTTAGGAGATTCGGATTCGACTCATCTGAGCTGCCACGCCCGTGTCGTGTCGTCATGCCTCAGTCTTTCGTCCGCTTATTGAGAACAAGTATGACAGTGCGGAATGAGGTGTTATGTGAAATGTTTCTTAATCAGCATTTTCTTACAGTTAAGGAGAATGAATCAGGGAATAAATACAAGCTTACTATAAACTTTATTAGGCCCTACACAATAATCCATATAAGATAATGTACTAGTCGGCGGAAAAATTACCACCTGGAATCGAAGGAATCGGAATCGACTTTAGGCGATCAATTCCCGATTCCAAGAAACAGTGGAATCGAGAATTGAAGATGGAATCTACCAACCCTAATTATTTGCAATAGTATGAACCTGATGAAATAATAAATTAGTTCTTTCTAATTAGTTTAAAAAAAAAAAAAACTCATAATAACTGAAAGAAGAGAGAAATCAAGACAGAAAAACAAGAACTTACCAGCCAAAAATTAAGATCACATCTCCGTTGACGATTTTCTTCTGCACTGTTTCACATATTGATTTACCGGCCATGTTGATTTGCTCATGTATATAAGTTTCTAGTACATCACAAATTTTCCGCTTGGCCTGAAACAAAAAATAAAGGGTTTACTTCAATAGTATTAAATTGGGTTATCTTTCTACAAGTCAAACAACATCATAATAGTGTTTTCATGTGGTTGGATGGGTGTTTTACAGTAAAACCTATTTGTAAAGGATACAATTAAGGATACAAAGAACTACAATATGATAAAGAAAAGGAATGTGTTACAACCCAGGATTATGTAATAACAACCACAAAATGTGGTAAGAAAGTTTACTACAACAAGCAATATTTTACAAATGGATTGTTATATTCAGTTAAAATAGTGTTAAATTTTTGTTAAATAATGACTAGTGAGAAACAATACCACCAAATAAACAACAAAACCTTAAACAGATAAACCGGGTAGAACTAACCAAACCTTAATTTTGGTCTTCAGCTGATCCATAAAGATAATAAATCTATAACAGAGTTTTTTTAATCTATGTGGTGTAATGAGGGTATTTACTCAGGGGAGGTATAGAAGAGCCTACGATGACAGCTGTGGACTTCTTATTAGCTGAAGGAACGCCATTACCGTAACAATACGGTCTGTGGCCATCGGCATCAGTGGTCTAGTGGTCAGCATGCCGGGCTGATATGCTGAAGGTCCCGGGTTCGAATCCCGCTGGTAGCATTAACTTTTTGTCCAAGATTTTTTCATTATCAGCAAGTTTGGTTGGTTTGGTTCGGTTATGACAGTTTAATTTTATTATTAAGTCATTAAAAAATTTTAATTGAGCAATTTCTAGTTTTATTTAATAAACAAAATTATTTTTTTATTACTAAACTTTTGTTTAGGGATGGACGAGATTGGATTTTTAGTTCGAGACGAGATTTTTTATTTCTCATAAAATTTCGAGACGAGATCGAGACGAGATTTCTCTTCTCATACACAACGGGAAATGCACGTTCGAAATTTTTACCTGATTTTGTAACATTGTTAGATGACTGTTTAAATACTAAAATAATGATAATAGGCAAGAATATTTACAATCTTTCATTAAATAACATCAGCATAACATTTTTTTATTAATCACGCCTAACTTATTAAAAATGCCTACGATTAGGAAACATGGTGATATCAGTTAGGATAGAGTTCAACTTATCCTAAAATAAAATAAATCATAAAATAAAAGCAATATTAATTTTTATAAAATAGTTACTTGTTTTGACTTTTTTTATAGTAATAAAACATTCCTCACACTGCTTACACTTAACAAAACTTCTCAAATGTTATTAAAGTAATATTATTAAAATAATGAAAGTAATATTTACATTAAAAGAATTAAAGTAATATTTACATTAAAAGAATTAATTAAATAAGAACGCCTTCGAAAAGGAAACGCAACTACAACACGCTCCTGTATTGCGGGTATTGCATTGACTTTCTGCAGGCGTTTTTAATTTTTTTTTTTTTTTTTTTTATTCTCGTCTCGATAAAAATCTCGGCCAAAAAGTAATCTCGTCTCGTGTAACGAGATTGAAAATTTCCCGAAAATTTCCCGAAATTTCGAGACTTGACCATCCCTACTTTTGTTATATTATTTCATTATCAGCAAGTTTGGTTAGTTCGGTTAGATAGTTTAATTTTATAATAAAAAAATTATAAAATTGAATTTGAGGCATTTATAATTTTATTTTATGAACAGAACTATTTTTGCGATTAGTAAACCTTCATTGCCAAAGTGCTCTCTACTACAGCGCTGTTCACGGAGGAATTTTGAACTAATGCCTCATTCGTACCTCCCCTAAGTCAGACCCTGTAATGAGGAAATTCCTTTTGTTTTACTAAAAGATTTCACCTAACAACCTTTAAAACTCGACATTCCAGTCCCATCTTAAATTGTAGTCGGTTTTAGAATACAATGAACATAGTTGAATTGAGCCAACGGCAGAATTTTCTGGAGTAGGTATGAAAATTTGTTTAACAAATCAAAATAGATAAAATATAACGATTTTTATTTAATATTTTTACTTTCTCCCCCTATACATTGTATATGGAGAAAGTATTGTTTTCGACAAAATTTTAGAATTTGAGTGGATATATCCGTTTTGGGTCTCCTTGAACCCAAAAAAGTGGTTTTCAAAGTGATGTCCATCTGTGTGCGTGGTTATGTGTGTGTGTCTGTCTATCTGTATGTGTGGATGCATCAGAACTACAGACCACACCCTGTAATCCGATATTAATGACATTTGGTATGTAGGTACTAATCCATGGTATATCCAGGCGTTTTTTCACTTTATTTAAATTTTGATTTTTAATGGTGATTTTCCCATAAAAACCCATAAAAAACGGAAAAATGGAATTTCCTCAAAAATGGCTCAAATGGTTTGATAAAAATTTAGTAAGTTATAGTCCTGAACAAAATGGTACAATTCCCATTACTGTACAAATTACAATTCAGCAGTTAATGCAACTAATGTTATTTTCAAAAAAAAAACCTATAAAGTAACGGTAAGAAGGGGTTTTTAATAAAAACCGGTTTTGATTAAAATAAGTATTGTCATGGTCCTTAGAATTCTAAACAAAACAGTGCAACCCTCCATTGTTGTAAAAATTACGGTTCCCGTTTCCATGATAAACGATATGTTGACACGCTAATGGCAGAAAGTATGTGTCAGATTGCTCATACAGTTTATTGAACTTGGTATCTTCATGTTAGATATAAAATCTTAAATACTAATTAAAAGTGTTCGAAGCATTTTTAATAAAATCATTAATTTTTTTGTAATTCAAATCTAAAGAATTAAAATGGCTGCCATTTTGAAATTTTGAGTTGGATCCATCGATCTCTATTACTTCAACTGGATCGCGCACTATGTGCTGGGTTTTCAGTCCGGCCTCTCGGCTCTCCTTCACCTGAGCTGTCTCTTCCTTACTCATTATGTCTTATGGTGTGTCCGTGTTTGCGCTCACAAAAGACACTATATCTCTTTCACAGTTGCTCTATTTTCAATTAATTCACACAGCTGTAATCTGCATGAAACTTTGGGGATTATGGTATGGATTTTTATATAAAAATCATTTGGTTTTAGATTATATTCTGTACCGTACCGTACTAAAACCTATTAAACACGGGTTGTTGCTGCCACTTTTTAAATTTTAAAGCTGTTATCTATATATAAAGCCAAAAGTACCCATGAACTTTTGAGAAAACTACAAGTCGCAATAAACCATATACTTAAAATGTTCGTCATGACGAGAAACCTTGCGCAAAATTATCCATTATTTCATAAGTTGCCCTATAAGGTCGTAATTGCTTTCCAAAGGGAACTTTCCATTTACCTGATGTTAAAAATACCTCAGCTGTTATTATTTGTTTGTATTCTGCTTTGTTTATTTCATCTTAACTTAACCAATCAATAGTTTTATTAATACTAATGTAGTAAAATGGGGTGGAGCCCGTGGGTAACAGCTAGTCTTAGCTAATGATTAATTTAATTTAGCATACACTTATTGTTGTAAGAGTATGAAGTTATAAATAAAAACAAGCCCATGGGGCGTAGCCCAAGGGAAATATGAAAATGAAAATTAAATTATATAATATTGCATTGTCTTGCATTTGTGAGCTATGTTTCAAGTTTTAAGTCTCTAGCCCATTGGGAAGTTAGTATAAAATTGATTGCAAAATTTGTACCGGACAAGAAAGCGAGCTAATAAAAACATTCTAAAATAGGTTATTCAGTTTCTTTATCATAGTTTCATTGGTCATGCTTAGCCTTCCTTTAATTGTATTATTAACAGTAAAATATAAGTTTGTCACCTCTGCGTCAGTCATACTGTTGGGCAGCTGAGTGAGAGTTCTGCTGAGATGTCTCAAAGCATTGGTCATAGACACTGCCAGAGGTCGGCACTGGTCCAGGTATCTCACCACCGGACCCAACTCTTCCTCCAAGCCTCGCGAGAAATCTTTCTCTGACGGCGTCGTGTAGTCATTCACCATCTGACGTGACAAACTTGTACTTATTGATAGTGGTAAACAGTATAAACAGAGGAGCTGGAACTACAAACTAACATCCGTCTTGTTTCTCACATATCTTTATCCTCCTTTCTTTTTACAGTTTTAACCGAGTTTGCGTATTAGAGAAGCTTTGCTGATTGTGCATGGAAAAGGTCTTGGCAATGATTGTGAATAATGAGTGATGAGAATAAAAAAAGAGTTAGGTACGAACACTTTATTTAACTTGAATGCCAATCGGCACAATAAAAACCTGCAAAAATACACAAAACTATGTTTTTTGGAGGTTTAAAAGATTATATCCAAATTATAGTGAAATTAACGGGTAGGCCACCTACTAGTACTACTAGTAAATCTAATAAGTAGACCTAACTTTTGTTTTTTTATCTAGTGAAACAAATTATATAAAAAAAAAACAATCTAGATTTATCATTTATTATTAAATTAAGATTTTGTCTTCCTCAGCTTCAACTTTGGTTTTCGTTTTCTTCAAATATTTTGATCACACTCCCAATAAATTGGCTGTATAATGTTCCAACAAATTCTTAATGAAGCCCTCAAACCACATTATTACTAATAAACTAAAAAAATTGACTAATTACACATGGTTATCTAAAGTGGTATTTTGTAAGACTTTGTGAGGATGTTTTACTACTAATATTTAAAAAAACTACAGGCTTAACCATATATAAAACATACTCCCTTAGTAGATTTCCCATCCTTATGGAACATCTGAAGCCAATTTTACTGTTAGTTCTGTCCGGTTTACTGTAGAGTCGTGTTTTGTTTACAATTCGATTCTTGCTATTTTAGTAATTTAAAACCTAAAACTATCTAATCATAAACAATAACTTGTCCACTAGCTATATAACCAAACAGTGAGGCACAAATCATGAGAAACTAACCCTAAAATAATAGAAACAAATTGTAAAAAAACAAGACTCTACAGTACACAGGACAGAACTAACAATAAAATTGGCCTCAGCTGTTCCAAAAGGATGGGAAATCTGCTTTAAGGGAGTATGATTTATCTATGGCTTAACCTACAGTAACCTGACAAAACGAAAAATAAGTTTAGAAAATGAAGAATAGACACAGTATGTGTAAAGTACAACTAATAAAACAACAAACTGGACTTTGAGTGGTCATGTTTGAGTCACGGTGTTGGGTCATGGTGTTTGAGTGTGTTATGGCTATAAGGCCTACTTTGAACTATACTATTAACAATTTACAATATAGGCTATCAGTTGACAATATAAGTAACCATTTCATTGGCCCACCTGAATCAATGCACGCAGTAAGGCCACACAGCGAGCATTGGAGCCAACCACTACCCTTGTAGCATACTGAACACCTAATCTAACTACTGCTGGGTGAAGACTGGAAACTTTCAATCTACAATACAGAAACAGTGATTTATAATGCGAGTAACTAACTTTAAATGAATGATTAAAATAAACTGTACAAATTGGAGTTCTGTTGCAGCAAACCTGTAGACAATTTAGATCCAAGATGATACATTTCACTTTTATATTAAGAAATTAAATACTAATTAAAATATAAATAACATTGTAAGAGTATTGAAAGGTCGCCTGCAATGATGAAATCACAAATGTGTTATGTTGTTACATTCCAAAAACCAATGATTTATTAAGGGTTTTTAAAAATTTTATAAAGATACACTAATATACCTAACAGTGTTCAGCGATTATCTTTGCAGTGAATGAGTGCAGAATACAATAATTATGTGTACCAAAGTATGTTACTAACAGGAGCACACACTTACATAAAAATTGTTCTTTTACTGATTAGGTCTATGGATAGTTGTTATTTTGCACTGCCCTTTTTTAACTGTGCAGTAATAGAAGATTCTAATGTAACACGAAATACATAAGAACACTTACAGCTTTTCAGTAGATATATTTGTTTTTTCCCGATACAGATGACTAAACAGTTTGGGTTTTGGTTGAGTTAGTGTTTTCAACACCTCAATTTTTTTTTCAGTCTGTACCTGGAAACAAATTTTGTTGTCAACTTTCTATTAGGTAAGTAAATTAAGTGAATTAAGCCTATTTAAAGTTCAGGGTTCTGGCTCTACATTTACATAGTATTTTAATATATTATTTTCCCCTTTTCCTTCTTTTTTAAAATCGTAAAGCTAAATAAAATAGTTCTATATGAAAAACCAATTATTAAAAGTTGTCTTATTACTCTACAACTTACCAATTAGCAAACAGATATTATCCGGCCCACAATGCAATGGGAAATAAACTTTTATATAATTAGTAAAGTCATTGATCGTCAGAGTTGCGGCAACGCCCGTAAGTAAATGTTTCAGTCTCTGTGATATCGAGATTGTCAATAACGATCGCGGCAACTCGGTAGTGATACCGTGATCGTCAATCTTGGTCGCGGCAATAGGCCTAACCTTAAGTAAATGTTGCGGTCTCAGCAATAACGTGATCGTCATTCGTGATCGCGGCAACACGCGAGCATATTTTGCAGTCTCGGCTATATCGCCGTTTAGTTTAATCTCAACGTTCACTTCACCCAACAAGAGAAAATTAGCTGCAAGCATGTGCCAAGAGATTGAGCTATCTTAATACAGATAACTAAGCTAGGTGATCCTTTGAATTTAAAACAATCCTTCAGGATCAGGACAACAAACTTTAACCCTGATTTTTCTTACCTTTAAGTGGAAAATTACAAAATTCTCCCTAAAAATTGCTGTTAATTTTAGCTTTACACTCCTTATAAACTCATTGTCAATTATTTGTATCGTCATTACAAAAATGTTCAATCAAGTAAACTTAGTGGTACATTGAAAATATTTGGTCCCGTGCATCCTCAGTGCCGGATTTAAGGTACTTGCGGCCCTAGGCCAAATTAATTGAGTGGCCCCCAACCCTGTAAAGGAATTCCCTCTAATAGTGGTGAAATCATAAGAATCTCCCACAGTCATCATCATAATCCTCACCAGCGATCGCGAATAAAATCGAGAACATCTCCCGCGGGCCACAATCACGGGTAAATCATCATTGTCCCCCACGATCGCGGAATAATCTTGAACACTTACCCTTAAACAAAGGAGACAATATTATTGTCACTGACACCCAAAACTGCGGCAAAATTGTGAACTTCTCCCGCGAGCCGCAATCATGGGGACATCATTATCGATTCCCGTGGCTGCGGAAAATAATGGACATATTCCTCTACCACGGGGTCGCAACAAAACCTGATGGTCAAAAAATTAAAATTTGTTTGTACTGAAAAAATATTTTTGTCAATCCTCTGCGGCCCCCTTTTGTTTGCGGCCCTAGAGTGGTAAATCCGGCACTGGTCATCCTGTGTTTTCATCAGCCCTACTTTAAAACTTCCAATTTCCGTAAAAAATATGATTCAAAAATTATTGTTATTTTCCCATAAAACCCCTCATATAACAAAAAATCGGATTTTAGAAAAATCCAGTTTTGATTAATGGTCCTTTAAATCCTGGACAGAATGGTAGAAATCCCATTTCTGTAAAAAATAAGGTTCAAAAGCTATTGTAGCTTATGTTATTTTCCCATAAAAACTCCCAGAAAGTAACAACAAATAGGAATTTAGGAAAAAAGCCGGTTTTGATTAAAATCAGTATGTTTTGGTCCGTTATATTCTGAACAAAATGGTACAAATCCCATTTCTGTAAAAAATTACGGTTCAAAAGTTATTGTAACTTATGTTATTTTCCAATGAAAAACCCATAAAATAAAATAAAGTAGGATTTGAGGAAAACATCCAGTTTTGATTAAAGTTGATGTGTTATGGTCCTTATAATTCTAATCAAAATAGTGCAACCCTCCGTTGCTAAAACAATTGTGATTCAAAAGTTAATGCAACTTTTGTAATCTAATATATAAAATTCTCGTGTCACAGTGTTTGTCTGCAAACTCCTCCGGAACGACTTCACCGATCGTTATGAAATTTGGTGTGTAAATTCTGTAGGTATGCGAATCGGACGTAAGCTATTTCCCGTTTCGAAATTCTTAAAAGGGCTCCGCCCCAGTGGCTCTGGAGTTTCCCATGTTAACCTTATGAGAAATGGAATTAATGAATCTTAACAGCTGTTTCAATTAAACAAGTTGGTTCTGTTCTATGATGTTCAATAGCATTAAAGTTACAAGGATTACCAACAGGGTGCAGCACTATTATTTCTTTTACATTTATGACAACAGCTAATTTGCAACCAAAAGGTGAGTGAGCGTAGCGAACGAACTTCAACCTGGAGGCGAGTGAGCGTAGCGAACGAGCTAACCTGAAGGCAAGTGAGCGCAGCGAACGAGCTCCAACCTAAAGGTGAGTGAGCGTAGCGAACGAGCTCCAACCCAAAGGTGAGTGAGCGTAGCGAACGAACTTCAACCAGGACGTGATTGAGCGATGCGAACGAGATCATCTTGAAAATTAAACGTAACGGTACTTTCTTTCCATCGGTCTGTCTTAGGGGAAACCTATAACCAAAGATTACATATGCTAACGCAAGTAATCTTTGCTATAACTTAGGCGATACGAAGTTCGCCGGGTCAGCTAGTTTTTCCTATAAAATATTGTTACTCCCACCGCTTACCCATGTTAAAGGTTGTTGACAAGCTAATGGGAGAAAGTATGTGTCAGATTGCTGATACCGTTTATTTCTTTGGTAATAATAACAAAAAAAGCCACACTCAGTCTACTGAGAACCAAGAGAAATGTTTGAACAATCCTATGTAATTTTAACACAATTTAACTACAGTTTACAAGTATCACAAGGTAAGACAGACACACAATTAGTTGTGTAGTAGGAATGCCTTACTGATTTTAAGTCTCAATACAAACCATTATTAGTAGACTAACCTATATTTGGTTCAAGAACAACTTACCACTGGGGTGCTTACAACAGGTTTTGACTGTTCCGTTTTTGCTTTTGGAACTTTCTCTTGCGGTTGAGACTGTGGGGTTTTACCAGCTGCTTTGGCCGCTCGCTGGGCTTCCTGTGAATAATAAAAAAATTCAAGTAATTAGGAATGTTAGACAGTCGTCTTCATTAATTGGCAAACCTAAAACTGTGACCCAATAAACCGAAGTACAAATTTAAAATTACAGTTTCTGAAGAGCTTCATGTAGTTTAATTATTTCACTACATTGAATTAGCAATCAACAAACATAATGCACAAACAACCCACTGTACACTAAATTTCATATGAATGATTAGTAGTGTTAAGCTTTTGTTCAAAACAATAGCACTGCTCGGTAAAAAAATAAGAACTTAAACCACAAGAGGCATTATTGTAAACAGACATTTTCAACACATTCAATCAATCATCATTTCAATGATTGAATCATAATTGCATAATGCTTATTAAACACAAATAAATATTATTACTAAATGATTGAATTGATCTTATATTTATGGTTAGAAGTAAGTTCAATTTATTTTAATTTTTGTAGTTCGTAATAGCATTTTTTTTTTTTTGTTCAAAGCGTATTTGGTCACATATTCATGTTGTTATGTCAGGATCAGGACTGACATTTCTTTTTAAGCTTTGATTGTATAACGTATTAAAAATGTTTAACGTTTAGGTTTGGAGAGTCAATTTTTAGTTTTGATTTTGAGATTCAAAATTTCTGGCTTCAACCATTTCTACACAAGTGTAAATAGCCTATGGGATTTTAAATATTACTGAGTTTCATTGCAGGGCATCGATAGTAGGGATTAGCAAAAAACAAACTTACAGTTAGAGAAATGTGGGTAGTCAAAATATCACCAATAATTTACCTAATATCTGGCGTGTCTAATTACCAAGTTAAACTACTCGGCTGGAAAACTACTTAACTTATTCCACCACCCTCTCTTAATCACTTACCCAAAGTGGTTCTCTACACATTTTTTATGAATTAAACAGCTATTTAAAATAGTTGGGTATTAAGCTTGGGCATTTATCGACTCTCATATTTTTGATCCATGTTTGTAAGGGATATAGAAATCTAATCACTAAATTTGTTGATCTATGAATCATTTTCCATAAATCTTGGCCATACGTCCTGACCTCAAAATATGACAAAAACATATCTATGCAATTACTACTTACTTGTTTGGCCCTCCTTTCAGCTTTCAGTTCGGCTTTACTTTTTACAGGAGCATCCTCAGATGAGGCAGTTTTTGGTGGTCCTTGCTTTTTACTGTCAACTTCTAAATCTTTTATTAGCATAACAGGAACATCATTGTTCCCTGTAGTAGATGTATCCTTAGAAGGTCCTTTCTCAAGGTTTACTGGCTGAGGCACAGAGGCTACTTTATTCTTAATGCTATTTTGATTTATACTCTCAGTTTCAGTCTTTGCATCAGTAATAGGAACACTTCCTTTTTCGGTCGTAGATTTTTTAGCTTTAGCAGCTAACTTAGCTGCTTTTTTTGCTTCTCGTTCAAGTAAAATTTCTTCTCTACTTTTGTTGCTTTTTTTAATATCTTCAGTCGGTTTCATTGTTACAGCAGGTTTAATATTTGTTTCTGGATTACTGATTTCAATTCCCACTGGAGATTTTCCAACAGCTGTATTAGGAACAAGTGATTGTGGGAAATCAAATAGTTTTTGAGATGCAACCTGTGTCTTTGGTCCAGAGACGGTTACAGGGGTGTTATGCAGGGGTTTTATCAGATTGGTTGCTGAATTTAAAACCTCAGCGGTATTTGTAGGGATATTATTTGGTCTATTTACGTAATTGGATGGAGAAGTAGGGGTTGCAGATGGACTGGTAAAACATTCACTTCTAAACTGGTATAGATCTTTCAAAACAGGACTTGGAAATGAATCTTTTGTATAAGCTGATGGAAAAGGATAAATGTTATTCCCCACAAGCCTTTTGTTTGGCGCAACAGTTTCAGAATTGAATAAGTTTTGTCTAATAGCTGTAGAACAATTTGGTCTAGCAGAGGCAGTCTGAGAAAAGTTGAAACTAGGGACAATATTTTCCAAGCTACTTATTTTACTTGCTGAAAAACAGTTTCGGTTCAGCTCCTTGCTTTGTGCAGCGTCAAACTTATCAGAAAAAGGACTCGTGCTGTAGTTACTAAACGAAGAAGACAACTTTTCCAACTGATGCTTCGTCTCTCCAAAATAAAACACTCCGTCTTTGTCCACTTTGGATTCAGAAGTAGTAAATCTTTTTTCTGGAAAAGAGAATAGCGGCAAAGAAGGTTTCTCCTTCTTTGGAGATGAATTTGTCAAGGGCACTAAGGTTTGTAGCAAAGAATTAAGTGTCTTTTCTTCCAAAGTCTTTATGATATCAGCTTTAGTGTGATGTGTTGTTTCTGCTAATGACTTACTTTTCAAGCTCTTGCTTCTAGAGCTAATGCTTTTTTCAGATCTTTTCCTCGACTCTTTCACTGAAGGTTTCCCAAGTTCGCTTCTGCTCGGTGCTGTGGGGTTTGGAGGCACGTCAGTCGAGAGGCTAGATTGAGCAACTGGACGTGGTATCACTTTCACCCCTTGATTATTAACCACTGTAGGTGGAGGAGAAAGATTACTTTTAGTCAAAGTCGGTGCTAAGGCCACAAGCAGTCTACGTTTCCTCAGTCGTCTTCTCCTTGACTTACTCAACTCTTCATTGTTCCCTAAAGTACCGTTCGGTTGAGACAAATTTACTTTTGTCTCTTGCCCTGCTTTATCAGTTTTATCATCATTTTTACTTTTGACGTGGTTACACTTTTTGGAATTGCTTTTACTTTCATTGGTTTCTTGTCCAACTACTTTGCTCCGAATGTTGTTTTGACTCTGATTGTTTTTTAAACCTAAAAGCACATTCCTTTCACAACTCTGGAGCAACTTGGGGTTAGGGATGCAGTCTTGATGTCTGTAGAGGACTGGATGTCTCAGTTCTTCTTTTGGAACACTTCTTGACTGCTTTTTACGAGAGCTAACCTGTAAAAATTAAACATTAGTTACAAAAACATTTATTTATATATATTTTTTTGCTTTGTTTTAAGTGCATGCTTATATACAATATATTTGATGGCATGTGTAATTGTTTGATCAAACATAGCAGTTAAGTAGTGTAAAATTGATTGAATATATTCATAGTAATTGAATCAAATTTGACTTTTACCAAAGCAAACACATTATACAACAGGAATTTTTCTGACAACTGGTGGAGCAACAAGCCATTTCCATGACCGGCCCAAGCTTTACCTAAATATCAAGATGCAATATTACAAGAATAAATTAGAAGTAGTTTTTTATACAACTTTGTGTAAGAACAGATATTTTTTGATTAAGATTAGAAGGGACTATAATAATGTATATTTAAAGTAGGCTTTAAAGTAGGTATATGTCCAAGGGCTTAGTAAATTAAACAGTAAAATAATCTAAAACACATATTTTTATTTTTTATGGATTGTAAACCCAGTTTTTTATTATGGTAGGTCTATCCTAGATTGAACACACCGTAATTTAACATGAATAAACTAAGGATGGATTTTAAGAGGCAGTCACAGAGGCCAGGCTGCAACTAATGCTGGCAGGGCGCATGTACCGGTACTGAATAGGCTCTAATAATTCAAAGTGCGGTGTAAAATTAAAATTGCGCGCAAAAAATGTAAATGTTAACAGAATGTTTTTCAAAATTTTATGAAGCTTTATTTTTCACACTGCACTTCAGCAGTTAGGTTAAGTTACTATAGTTCAGTTTGGCTTAGTTTAGTAGGCTATACTGTATGTAGGTAACATTTATAAGAACATATATTTTGTGTAAGGTGATAAATTAAATAAAGACAATTTGTATGTAGGCCTATTGGTAAGTTATGCCTTTTTCAAGAGTTTGACAAATGAAACGAAACTAAACTAACCTAAGGTCTGCAGCACACCGTAAAAGAGTGGCAGGCGGGACTTTTGAACAGATTAATATACTGTACCGTACTGGTATTTTATCACGAGAAATCTTTTCCTGATTGTTTTCCGCTATATACGATTCAGAGAATATGGTAAAATAAAATAAATCATTGCTTTACAAGATAGGCCTACAATTTTTCCAAAATTTTTATGCTTTAAATGTAGGCCAACTCAAAATTTACAAATCAAAATCAAAATTGACAAACCTAAATCTACGAACATTAAACTTTATTGTATGATTCTAATACTCTATAAGAAATATAAGACACGTGGTTAAATATTTTAAAATTGATTGTTTCTAATGCTTTTATATTCAAGACGTTTTCTACTGCCATATAGTTGCGGGTTTTGCCGACTGCGCTTGTTGGCCATGGGCTGACGACAATGAGCGGTCTTTCTGTATAACTTCTGTATGTACTTAGTCTGTTTTGGGAGAAGGTTGCGCTAGCTGCAGCCTGGCATCTCCAATCGCCTCTTACGAATTTTCCATGACCGCAGATTTTAAAGTCCATTTCAATATTAAGGAATGAATAAAAATTACCATGTTGTCAATAACACATTGTTATTGCAAACATTTTTTTCATACTAAAATGAATATTAACAATATGCAAGGGACACACATTAATTTCGATTCCGTAATGCTGGTTTTAAATAAATGTGGTTTTCTCAATATCTTTTATGATAAATGCAGATGGTTAGTTCTACAATTTGAATGTTAGTTTGATTATATTTCTACCTATCACTATTGTTCTCAGATGTTTATTAATATGTAAATTTCCTATAAAATAAAGAAAACAGAAAGTTTTAAAGGAAACCAACCACCATAATCTTGAAATAGAAAAGTATGATAACACCTACAGTTTGTTAGTCCAGGTCTACTAAAACAAAGAAGTGAATAGGGAAACAAGAAACAGCCTCTGTTAGTATTGTCTGAAGGTAAAGACAAAGAACATTTTGTACATAACATCTTGGTATTTACAATCTTGGAAAATTCACAGTTAGGGTATAATAAATCTTATGTTTTAAAGATTTAAAGTAACTTAACGATTCTCATTTTTGTATAAAAATCTATTGCATAATCATAATCAAACTACCCACCTAAGAAACTGTTGGTTCGAAAACCATCCATTCTAAAACACTCAACAATAACATAAACATAACATAAACTGGAATTCATTATTGGATCAGAAATAATGTTAGGTTTAGTAATTGGAAATTGTAAAATATCCATCGGGCATTTTGTAAGGAAGACATAAACAAAAATAATGTAAGGTAATAAAAGCCAGCGGACAAAGTTATGTGCTAGAAAGGAAAGTATGGTACAAAAGAAAAACGGTTGACAGGCAACAAGAAGAGGTGTATTTTGTACCTATACAACACATCACTTACTAATTAAAGTGTCTAACCTGTTCTGATGCCATGGAACCCACGATTTCCAAAGGCAACTAAAACAAAATGGAGTTAAAATATAACATACATCATTTAAATGTAAGTTAAACAATTGATAATCGATTCAGCTTCAACAGTTTAAGTAAAAAAAGCATCTAAAAATATTCATTTGACAGAGCAAAAGAAAATTCTTGATTATTAAAAAAAGTAGGCCTACTCATGGTGTCTGATATGGGCCTTATGAAGCCGCAAACGTGGCTTTGTCTGTTGTAGCATTTTTGATAGTTAATTTTGTGTTACAGCAAGAAGATAACTTTTGTACAATTAGCAAGGGACTTTACTCTTTCATAAATTAACCACCCGTGTTTGACTTATGGCACATTGGTAATTATTGTTTAAGTAACAAAGAGTTAGGCCTAATTATTGATGTGTAAGATAAAAAACATTGAAGATTCCACTGCTCTAAAAATTATCAATTGATAAGCAGCATCTTACTGAGAAAGGTATTTTTTTGAGGTTGACATTCATGGACCAAAACTATGGTTTATTAAATGGGAAAATAATGATTGGAATTTAACTTAAATTAAAATTAGAATTGTTTGATGTGAAAGAACCATTCGCTTTTATTTGTACTTAATATTAAAAAACTTAATTTTAACCAACCCCTACACTAAAAGATTGATTGTCATATTAAATTGAAGCAATATCTAACTCAACTTAACAAAACATAGGCCTAACAGCTTTTTATGTAAATCAAGGACTTGTCAGCCATATACGACGGCTTACAATATACCACCACACAATGGTTTAGGATATAAAGTTTCAGGACCCAGACAAAAGTTATCTGCTTTTTCTGAGTGTTTAAATCAATTATGGGTTTTGCTCGTTTTTCATGTAGGCCTGCTATATTTTATATTTACTTAACAAGTTTGGTTAAACAGGCAACAAATGTGAGTTAGCCCGCAGAAAATTAATTAATCAACTACCCTATGTATCATACAAGCATGTAATTTTAAAACATGCCCAAACATTGAACAAGTTTATGCTTTATCATGGTAAATTGAGTTCTTCAGGTTATGGTTACACTTGCCTCACTTTTAATAAGCCTTTGCTAATAAAACCATAGGTAACTACCTGGAACAGTAGGGTATAAATTACCATTCACACTGCAAAAAGTATGCTTGTAATCCAAACGGTTGGAACAAGCTAAGAGAATATGATCACACCTCAATAACTACCTAAGCAGAATCATAGAAAATGTTTGAGGAGGTACCCACTAAGTATCACTTAGTACAACTTATTACAAAAGGGCCTGCTGATATGGATGAGAAATATATTCTATCCATTTAGAAGAAAGTAGGTCAGACATAGGTTTGTTCTTAACTAAAACATGGTTGTAATTTTGAATGAATAAAAGCCATACTTTTGGTTTACTAAGTCTTTCTTACAACAATTTTATTCATTCATTGATAAACTCAGTTAGTGCTACATTACAATGGAGAAATTCCTTAGACCAGACAAATTGCAAATTGACCCGGAATCTCCAACTGCCTCAGAGGAATGGACGCACTGGTTACAAACATTCGAAGACTTTCTAACCATAACAGAATTCGTTGAAGACAAGGACAAACTGAAACTACAAACTAATCGATTATCTTTTACTACTTATAGACTTATCAAGGAATCTGAAACTTACCAAGACGCTTTGAGAGTTCTTAACTCAATTTACATCAAACAAAAGAATGAAATATTCTCAAGATATTTAGTAATGACTAGAAAACAGCAACAAGGTGAGACTATTGACAAATATGTGTCGGAACTGAAACTTTTGAGCCAAGATTGCGTTTTTGAAGCTGTTAATGCGATTCAATACAGGGATCACTACATTCGTGATGCTTTTATCAATGGCTTAGCCTCGTCATACATACGCCAGAGACTAACTTATTTGAAAATAAAACTTTAGACCTAGCTGAAGCAGTCTAGAGCTCTTGAAATGGCTCAAGCTCAAGTCGAGAGCTATCCAAAATCTATGTACGGAATGCAAACTTGTGCAACGAATGAATTGGCAAAGCAAGCTTGTCAGTACAAATTCCCACTACAACAAAAGGAAGAAGCGACTGTTTCCGCTATTAAAAATGTTGATGGCAAGTGTTATTTTTGTGGGCATGACAGACACTCTAGAGATCGCTGTCCAGCCAGAGAAGCAACTTGTGGGAAATGTAACAAGACAGGGCATTATGCGAGAGTCTGTAAAAGTAATCCAACTCAACATTTTAAAGTAAAACAGAAGACATCTAGTACATCAGCTGCACTAATAGCAACAACACATAATACATCTGTATTGAAGGACTCTACAGTTGAAGCTAAAGTGAATGGCCTGAAAGCAAATTGCTTAATAGACACCGGGAGTACATCAAGCTTTGTAAACTTGAAGTTTGTTTAGTTAAAATGAAAGTGGACAAGTATCACTAGCTGCTTCTAATATGAAATCAAACGTCCACGGGTTTGTTAAAATCAACCTAAATCTGTTGAATCACAATTACAACAATTTTAAGTTGACTGTTCTTGAAGATCTTTGTACTGACGTGCTTATCGGACATGATATCATGAAACTCCACTCAAATATACAGGTTTGGTTTGGAGGTAAGAAACCTCCTCTGTTGGTGTGCTCCTGTGCCAAAGTTGAAAAGAAAAACTGAATGGAGTGTATGCCTATCTGGATGATTTGACCGTATGTGGAAAGGATCAAAAGGATCATGATGGGAATCTAAGAACATTTTTAGATGCTGTAACTACTAAGTATGGACTTGTAATCAACAACGAAAAGAGCAAGTTCAACCAGTCTTCAATAACCTTGTTGGGACATTTAGTTTCCCATAACTCTATTCGACCTGATCCAGATCGGCTAGAATCTCTACTGTCACTTCCTGTGCCCAAAGACCAAGTTTCACTAAAGCGAGTCCTAGGATTTTTCGCTCACTATTCAAAATGGATACATCGGTTTTCTGATAAAATAAGAAACCTGACACAAGTAAATTCTTTTCCTTTGTCACAGGAAGCGGTTGCAGATTTTGAAGCCCTCAAACTTGACATTGCAAACTCAGTAATTACTCCTAGGAATGGACAAGAGCCACTAGTAGTGGAGACTGACGCATCTGACATAGCCGTGGCAGCAACTTTGAGTCAAGATAATCGGCCAATTACTTTTTTCTCACGGACTCTAAACAAATCTGAGAAGCTGTATTCAGCTGTTGAAAAAGAAGCCGTTGCCATTGTCGAAGCCCTTCGAAAATGGAAATCATTTCATATCGGAAGAGACTTCAGATTATACACGGATCAGCAAGCTTTATCATTTATCTTCTGACAAGAGGCATACAAGCAAAATCAAGAACGATAAAGTTATGAGATGGCGACTAGAGCTAACACCTTATCAATATGAAATAGTGTACCGACCTGGTAGGGAGAATGTAAAAGCAGATACGCTCTCTCGGGCATGTGCGGTTCGCTGGGATAATGCCAAGTTGTTTGAATTACACAAATCTCTCTGCCATCCGGGAGTCACTCGAATGTTTCATTGGATTAGAACTAAAAATCTAAACTACGTACTCTGGATTATGTAAAAAGGATGACGTCAGCTTGTCAAATATGAGCAGAAGTGAAGCCAAGATTTCACCAATTCCAAGGCAAATTGATAAAGGCAACCACCCCCTTCGAACGTCTAAATATTGACTTTAAGGGCCCTCTTCCATCAACAACCAGAAACCGTTACCTTTTAACCATGGCGGATGAGTATTCTCGTTTTGTATTTGCTTACCCCTGTAAGGACATTAGTTCAGCAACAGTTATCAGATGTTTTTCAGATCTATTTTTTATGTTTGGAGCCCCGTCCTTTGTACATTCAGATAGAGGTTCATCTTTCATGTCGCGAGAGCTGACGGACTTTCTTCACAAGTACGGAATAGCTACAAGTCATACGACACCTTATAACCCTAGAGGGAACTCTCAGATTGAACGCTTCAATGGAACAATATGGCGAACCATCCTACTAACTTTGAAAAACCACAACCTGCCAGTTGCTGCATGGGAAGAAGTATTACAGGAGGCTCTTCACTCAGTCAGATCTCTTTTATGCACTGCGACAAACTGCACACCGCACGAAAGATTCTTTATACATAGCAGAAGAACTACCAATGGAGACTCCTTACCATCTTGGCTATCCGCTCCTGGTCCTGTCCTGCTTAGAAAGTTTGTAAGATCTAATAAATATGATGACTTTGTGGAGCCAGTTCAACTTTTGGAATCAAATCCACAGTACGCTCTCGTCAGAAGAAGAGATGGGTCAGAATCACAAGTATCCCTGAGACATCTTGCACCCGCTGGCCTACCTCCTGGTGATCTACCTCATGAAGACAACACTACTGAGAGAAAGATTGTTGAAAATATAAATTCAGACATTGACCACAATGAAGTTCAAAATGAAACTCAACAAACGGTATCTCAGACCCCAACTTCAGAGACGGCTGTGGGGGAACTACGTCCAAAGAGGAATGTCAAGCCTCCGTCATATCTAAAGGATTACATATGCTATACCTACCTTGAAAAATAGTGGGGGAGAATGTGGTGATGTGAACATTATCACCTGATAATATTTATTATTTGATTTGTTTGTAAATATTGTATTTGTTCTTAACTAAAACATGGTTGTAATTTTGAATGAATAAAAGCCATTTTGGTTTACTAAGTCTTTCTCACAACAAACTTAACATTGTAGGCCCTAAACTTTGATAAAGCCCAATGAAACTTGGCGGCTCTGTCAATCAGTAGCGACAGAAGAGCAGTTGCTCCAGGGTAGGCCTAAGGGATTCGGGGAAGAAATACCTACTCTTCGGAAGAAATAATAGGCAAATATTTGTTGTTCATGTCTTTCACTGAGCCAAGACGCCGCAGCCTATCCCACAGTCTCATGGTGTCATCGGTACCGTAACTAAGTTACCCCAGGGCATCATACTCGTACCCTACTTTACATTCGACTTTTGCGACTTTGCTTCTGCACATTTCATATATTTCTTGATGTTTCTGGCCATCCTAGAGATTAAAACGCAGTCGGTCTGAAGATGGCACTAACTTATAGGGTGCCGAGACTCATTTTTTTTACCACAAAACTATTTATAAGTTAAGAAGGATTCTATGATAACTTAAGTTATTACATATAAGTTAAGTTCAAGATTCAAGATTTTCACTTTTTTTAAGTAACTTTTTTAAGTAGGCTACCTATGGTTGCAATTTTGCTGAATACTTACAATATGTGTGCATGTTAATCAAGAAGATATTTATGAGTAAAGAAAGGTATTGTTCAATATTGGAGGAGGGGGATTGAGCTACAGTACTTATGCTCCAGGGTGCTACAAACCTGGCTATGCCAATGCAGACACACCTAAGTTATTGTGTCTACATTTAAGTTAGGCTAACTTAAAAGTAAGATAAAATAAGTCTCATGAACCAAATTGTTAAATATGAATAAACTGCTCCACTAATTTGTAGGCCTATGTCTGTTTTTCCTAGAAAAGTTTCACTAGGCCTAGTAGGCCTAGGTCTACCAAGTTGGTATTAGGCTTAACTTAAGGATCGTATAAGTTACGAACCATCAATTACTTAAAAGTTGAAACATGTCAGTATCGATAACCAGCAAACTAACTTATGTCCTACAAGATAAGAATTAACTTAGACCAACTTCTTAGCCAAACCCTACACCAAAAGTTACTTGACTAGGGAATAGACTGAAGAAGAAATTAGTCCTAGCCTAACTTACTTGAATTAAAATAACTTAGGGTTAAGTTAACTGATGGGACCAAGGATTTGGTCTACATTTATTTATCATGATGCAAGTAGGCTAGGCTAAGTTTTAATATACAATTAGCCTAGTTGTTTCTAAACTAAAAAATGATACTTTATTCGAGTAGCCTCATCAGGTATTTTTTATGACACCTATTCAGACTAGGACCTATGTACCCGTAGTTAGGACTAAGGATAATTATTATTCATATCCCTTGCACTCAATAGTTCGCTTTTAAACATTACCTAAAGTATAGGCCTAGTTATCCAGCAATAACAGGAAAAGCAATGTCACTCTGACTGAAGTACCTATCAATCAATTATTAAATAAAATTATAAAGAAGTAATTCATAGAACTCATGCATCCATATGGAAATTTCCAACTTCAAAGATCATGCAACATGCAATGCAACTACTAACCTTTTCTCTTTTCAACTTGGTATGGTATTGGTATCGCGTCGCGATTCTATTTTTCCATCCTACGATCTCTAGTCCTCTCTCCTCTGCTGGTGCGGTGACTTTTTATTTACAAAAAAAAATACTGAAAACAATCCAAAGTGCAGTGACGTTTTCTCGTCTGCTTCACCTACACACACACCCTGCATGCACTGCACAGTGCACATATGGCAGATTGAGATAAGTACACTAAGTGAATCCGATTCTGTCCGTATCGAATAAACATACTTTATGCTTTCGACCTCAAACCTCGATAATAATTGTGCACCACACAACACAAATTTAAATTAATAATTTATTATTGAAAGTTAACCCGTTGCTCCAAAGTAACATAGTAGACAAGCTGGTCCATTATAAACCTACATTTTTTGTTAACTTGGTTGTTGTATGTAATGACAATTGCAATCCCGGTCCTGATTGCAATATTTTGACCAAGTACAGTACTGTAATAGCGGCTTGCTCTTAGGTAATCGCCAATCGGACCTCATTTTTGTGAAGCCTAGATTGCTTGATTATCCACTGTGGACTATTATTGGTCTAAAACCAGTCACAAAGCTTAAGATTTTTTTATGAAAATGTGCCTAGGAGCATATACGTATGACCCGAATATTGAATTAACAAACTCATGTTATTTTTAATGTAATTGTAACTAGGATTGCTTTCATAGCAGTGAAAGCTAGTTGAGCGGAGCAATCATATTTCATGGTTTTTAATAAAGCAATAAATGGACAAATGTTTATAGATATAATACAAAATACTAAATGTTCCCACACTCTGTACTGCTATCCTTTACTACTTTCTTCACCACTTCCAACGTCGTGGACCTGTTTCCCTCCCTTCTTAAAGCATTTTAAGATTGCAGATACATCAATCTAACTGCCACAGACGGTCCCCATACACCGCACTGCCAGCCTTTACTGCTTCCTTTACCACTTCCTACGTCATGGATCCGTTTCCCTTCCTTCCCATAGCATTTTGATTTTAGTATTTAGATACGTTAATCAGTAAATCAAATCTGTTAAAGACTGTAGTAGTTGGCTGGCAGCCGTGGTGAGTGGACGCATTTTCCTCGTTCTCTTATCTCGTGAAGTGATAACCAACATGACCGACTGTTCCTCGTGCTCGGACCCTTTGCCGGACACTAATGAATGTGCTTAATGTTCGGTGTGCCTATCTTTATTGCATTTTGAGTGTGCTGAAATCCTTGAAAGAACATGGAATCAGATGGGGAGCACCAGGCGTGGAGAATGGAAGTGTTCTTCCTGTAAGTCAAATAAGGGTAAGGTAGTAGTAGAATATGTTAAATATCTAGGATTGTTTGTTGATCATCATTTAAAGTGGGAGCAGCATGTAAAACAACTTTCAATTAAATTAAGGAAAATAAATTATGCTTTATATCACTTAAGAGAACATTAGGAGTGAGCATTTAAAAAAGGTATACATCTCCTGGTTTGAAAGTGTGATGAGATATGGAATAGTACATTATGGAGGTACTTATCCTACCATATTACAATCTGTCATCACGAACCAAAGACATGCACTGAGGACAGTTTTTGGATTAAAAAAATATGATAGAGTAAGTTATATTTTTGAACAAGAAAAGCTTTTAACCTTCAATCAATTGCACGTATACTGTTTGATTATGTTTGTTTTTAAATGTACATGTTTAGTATGAAACCTGTCAATAGAATATCTCGATCAGCACAATATTACTTGTTAGCAGAATGCTTTTTTAAAAAGGAAACTAGTAGGCATCAGTTTTGTTGTCTTGGTCCAAATTTTTTTAATGCGTTTGTAAAAATGTTCGGTAATGAAGTTTATAATGATAAGAGGTCTGTGATAAAGTCAAAAGCTTTGTTGTTTTCTATCAAATCATAATATAGCATAAATAATCTGTAACTTATTTTTAGCTTAGTTTTAGATGAATAACTATTTATATTTGCATGTAGAATTTATTGTCTTTCTAAAAACCGTGTTCTTATTAAATTATTCTAATTTGTTTATTTAAAGCATAAGTGTTATTTATATGATTAAAACTGTTGCAATAGGAAATGTCTACTCACTGTTCTGTTAAAGTGACAAAGAAGAAAAAAATGAACTGTTTGCTGCCAGAAAATTAAATGTATTAATAAAAATGTGTTTTTCATGCCGCGCGTGCTTTGCATGGCACATGGGATTATGTACTTAATTTAAAAATTGCATGAATAAAATTGTTTGAATTTGAATTTGAATTTGAAGTATGTTTTGTCTATGACTGTATTCGATCAGTGGTCGTTACCAAATTGCGACTTTAAATGTATACCTAAGACTTTTTCTGTATTATTTTAGCGAATTTCCCCTATAGGGAATAAGCTATTACCGTAGTACTCATAGTAAGACCTGGACCCGGAACCGATTTACTTTTTTGTTTTGAGGTCCCTAGAGACCGAAAACACCATCCGTTAAAATTCACATATATATATATTTATGTGTCCGTTAGCGCAATAACTCGATCAAAAACTATCTGATTTTGATTAAATTTGGTACAAACAAAAAAATGGGGTTTCCCCATTTTTGACCCTAAAAACAAAAAAAAATTGCAATTTCTTTTTATACCGTTTTGTAGAGCTTAAAAAAAGAAATTATTTATTATATTGAAGCGCTGTTGTTTGCCTAACTGTCACGGAGAAAATTCAAAAATAGTATGATTTAAAATTCCCATGTTATTCTTATGGAGAAAATTCATTTTTTTTTTAGTTTACTTGTTTATGGATATATTGATAAAATTTGGCAAATTTATTTATTTCATCCTATACTATTGACGTTTGGTCAAAAAACACTTTTTACCTTCCCCGTAGCAGCAAACCTAAGCACTCGTTAAATATAATGTTATTTAAATAGGGAATAAATATGTTTTATTTATGGAAATATTTGAGTAAAAATGTAATCAGACAAGTTGAAATTCGCTTAATCTGCAGGTTTGCTGCGGCGGAGGTATTTTTATGTTGTCATCATCATCATCCCAATCTTTCCCCATAGTACTGGGTTTAGGTCGCGGCTTGATTTTAACATATGCTATGATTCTTTGTTTTGTTTACATTTACGTCGTTGTTTTTTAACCATCATGGCAACCCATAAGACCAATGTTAAAATTTAAAAAAGTTGATCCCAAAGAGCTTTGCTTTCGCTCCGCTCAATAGTATCAATAGTAGTTTATTTTTTACAAACAATCACGCATCGCAAAGGTATGGCATAGCTTTTGGATAGAAAGTAAATACGAAAACGCCGTCGTTGCTGGCTAATTGTAAATAGATTTTTATTTTTACCTAGCTTCTCCAACCAGACATTCTGATCAATGGTCATAGACGTTAATTCGCACTTTATTGATTTAAATTAAAATTATGAACATAAATTTATTAAAATATTGAAATTAAAACATACAGTATTGAAAACCAAACAATTATGAATTGAAAATATATCTGTACATTTTAAGCGGAGTCAATATTTTCATAGTCCAGTAACCATAACCAAGCTTTGGTAAATATACAAATGCCATTTATTAGCTGCTTCCAAACAAAACAGCTGTTTTTACAACCCTACTTGTGTGACGTTGCCACTTCGAAGGCCGCGGCCTGGAGTTAAAGGCGGCCGTTCATAGACGTCACAGGAGATAAATTACGGTGATAGCGTATTACCTGAATGACCTTTACCTTCACATAGTTAAAATAAAACGTACTTCTGTGTAATCTATTTTATATTCATATAAAAGAGGTTCTTTTATTCTTCAATTCCCATGTTATTCTTATGGAGAATAAGTAAACTGTTGTAGTTTGCTCTTTTGTGGATATATTTTAATCAAACTTGACAAACTTATTCATTTTACACTAACCTATTATATTTTACAAAAACATTCACTTTTTAGCTCTATTTAGCAGCAAACCTAGGTACTCATTAAACCTAAATGTTATTTAAATGTATTTAAGTGTAAATCAAATCAGACAATTGGAAATTCGGAAAGTCTGCAGGTTTGCTGTCGCGGGGGTATTTTGTTTGGAATGAAATGATGTTGTATTGTTTACGTTAGTCTGTTTAGATATTGTCTTAAAATAAACAAAGTTTTTTCTTTTAATAATTGTTTTTTATAAAAAAAAAATCCTTCATAACTAATTTGAAACCATTTTCTAACTTCAAGAGAAAATTGTACGTACATTTCATACCTTACAAACTTGTTGAAAGTATCTAACAGCTTTACGTTACAGAGGAGAGGGAGTGTTAAACCCAAATAACATGCATTTGATGATATGATATAGGAAAATTAGGGTTTTAGCGAATTTCCCATATAGGGAATAAGCTATTACCGTAGTACTCATGGTAAGACCTGGACGCGGGACCGATTTTTTTTTCGTTAGAGGTCCCTAGAGGCCAAAAACACCATCCGTTCAAATTCATATATATATATATATGTCTGTTAGCACGATAACTCGAGCAAAAATGATCAGATTTTGATGAAATTTGGTACTAACGTGTAAACATACGTTTATTCGAACGAGTTCGCGATCCAGCATGATCGGACCAAGGGAACGGGGGCTTACGGGGGGTTTTATGGGGTAAAATAGGTTTTTCCCATTTTTTGACAAAAAAAAAATAAAATTTAGCAATTTATTTCCAAACCATTTTGTAGAGCTTAAAAAAACAAATAATTTAGTATATTGAAGCGTTATAATGCGCCTGATGGTTACGGAGAAAATTCCAAAAAAAATTTAATTTAAAATTCCCATGTTATTCTTATGGAGAATAAGTAAACTGTTGTAGTTTGCTTGTTTATGAACATATTTTGATCAAATTTGGAAAATGTTTTTATTTCTTACTAACTATTAACATAAAAAAAACTGTTTTACCCTCCCTGATGCAGCAAACCTAAGTACTTGTTAAACTAATTCTGGGAATAAATGTTATATTTTTAAGTAGAAATTTCAGTGTAAATCTAATAAGTCAAATGGAAATTCGCTTAGTCTGCAGGTTTGCTGCGGCGGGGGGTATTTTTATTTACACCAAAACTAAAAGAAAGTTATCTATCTATATCTAT